TCTTAAACCATAAACAATGCTATTTTACTCCAGTATTAGTCATGCACCTATTTCGAGAGTCGTTTAACGTCAATATAAACTGAAGCTCTAGTTTTAGCATATAGCGATTTTACGACGAGTTTCAGAAACGCGAAAATAGTCTTATTAGTATCTACTAAAACTGAAATTTAAAATAGATACTTCAAGGCAAATAGCAAGAAGGAAACAGCTCTGTAATTTTGATATTAGTCTTACTGTCTATGGAGACGCGGATTGCAAGACAACATTCAAAGAAATGGATAAGCATCTCCAGACAGGCAGACAGGCACGGGAATTCATTGAAGGGCCCAGTACTAAGGATGGACGTTTCTGCTTATCTCTGGATAGAGCCAACCTAAGGTTGCTGGTGGGACTGTTGCCTAGGCAGAACACGTTAAGGCGCCACCTGCACGTGATGGGGGTGACTGAGGATCCCTTGTGTGAGCGCTGCCGGGTAAAGGAAGACACCTTGGTACACGTTCTGTGTAACTGTGAAGCTCTGAGCTACTATAGGCAGACTATACTGGGGTACATTGGACCCTCAGGACTTCGCGTCGAGGAGCTTGGACTCAATGCCATACTCAACTTCGCTAAACAGGGGATGTTTGTGATCTAAGGAATGTAGAGGTGCATAAGTGCCCGTTCAAGCGGCCTATGCACTGGCTCCTTATGGTGGCCGGAATGTCTCTAATTTCACGATTCATTCATTCATTCATACTGTCTACTCTTTATTATTCTTGCATCAGTTTCAAAAAAATAAAAAAGATGAAGGGCTGGTGGCACCAAGGCCCTATTTGAGTCCGCGCGATAAAAACGATTGGGTCATAAAATACAACCAATGAGAAGGCATATTTGAAGTAATAGATGTAATGAATATTGTCCATTTCTTGTAAAAGGTCAAAAAATAATACGGTTTGTGTGAGATGACCTCCTAAGTCTCATATTAAATCAAGAAATATGTCATTAGGTACAAGAAGCTATGCTTTCATTTGCGTCCGTACACTAAACTAGCGCCCATGGTAATAAAATACAGCAATGAAAAAAAAGCATTTGTCCCATTCCCGAAGCATGAACGCAAATCTGATGCAATGTCTAAATTTAAATGACAGCAATTAAATGAGCACTTCATTGAAACACTATTCTGTCTTACTGTATGAAATTCTGCTTGATAGATTCTATGAAGATCTAAATAAAATTACAGAATGCTTATTTTCTAACAAATATGGAGTGAATATTTTCAATTTACTCGACTACTGTACGAAAGACCTCATTCCTTAGGCCAGCCCTTTTAGCAGGGGGTCTCACGCCCTCTACTGGACAGTAGGACGACTATTACTTCCAGCCTTGCTGTAATCGCCCTATCATCCAGTAGAGTGCGCGACAGCTTCCTGTTAACAGTAACATGGCTGGCTTCAATAACAGTGTTTTTCACACGGTAGTCAAGTAAATCGATTATTTACTCGCTGTTAGACGACACGTATTCTGTAATTCTATACTGAGTGACCAAAAAAGGTAACCACGCAACCCGGCAATTCGATCCCTCTCAAAGTCACTTAGCTGGGACTCCAGGCGAATTCTACGCACTCTAGGCATTTTGAGCAATCACAAAAAGGCTCCTCAAAAAGCTACACGAAATTTAACATCTAACTAACACCGTAAATGTACGATAACTGAATGCTGAATACAGGCAGCCACCACAAAAAATTAACAGAAAAAACTGACCATTTTATCACTTGTTCATGGCAATATAAATCTATATGAAAAACATTCTTGATTTCTAATAAATATACGTAGGGATTTACCTTTTTTTCTCACTCAGTATATTGATATATTCAAATACATAATTGATTAAGCAGAATTTCATACAACAACAGTGAGACACTGTTATTTTCAATAAAATGCCCGACAAATCTATCGTATTAGGTTGATCCGTGTTTTGAGTAGGACACACATCCTTCTCTTTGATTGGTGAAATTTGCGTCAACTTTTGTGTCCGGACACATTTTATGATTTAATATGAGAACTAGGAACCCATCTTACACAAATCTCTTACTTTCTAATTTGAGAGACATTTTATCAGAAATTGATCGAAATCATAGATCAGTTACTTCAAAGGTGTCTTCCCATTGGTCCAATTTGTGCGCTAATTTTGATTCTCACCAGTAAATAGTAAGATACTTAAGTCACCTAGTCAAATCTCGTTTCTTGGTTAATATTAATTGAAATGCTACAATGGATTTGCATTCTGAGAAACAAAGATATGGCGACAACAGAATGGAAAATACGGGGTGTCCGCAGAGTTGGGGTTTTCCTTTTCAGAAACAACTACCCTTGAAATAACAAAGGTAATGTGTAGTGAAACGAGAACGACCAAGTAAAAAAAAATAAAGGAAAAAGTACTCACTCTCCAGTTGACGAGTAGGGCTAAATACGTCTCTGCCCGAAATCATACCGCTCCAACAGAAAATGAAATCAGCTGATGCGCTACCGAGCAGACGCAGGCAAACAAAGAAGGTAAAATGTTGCGTAAATAGTCTAGGTATTGCATCCCGTCCAATCGATTTGGGAGAATAAATGGTCCAATGAGCATACCGTTCACCATGCCAGCCCAAACATTCACCGAAAATGTTTGTTGAAAATGTGCCCGACGGACAGCGTGCGGATTTTCTACTGACCAAACATGAGTGTTGCGAAAGTTATTCACCCCATTACGCGTGAACGTAGATTCGTCTGCCACCAATATGCACTTCAAAAGGTCCGGATTATTGACATGTTGATGCAACAACCACTCACAAAACCGCACTCTTGCTGGAAAATCGTTAGGTTGAAGGCCTTGTACACGTTGGACGTGAAACGGATATAGCCCCTCTTCACGCAGCGTTTGCCACACTTTAGTTTTTGATACTTGCACTTCTCTAGCCACGTCTGTAGTGCTTGTTGAGGGATTCTTGTCTACGCGATTACCTCTAGACGCGTGACCGTAACCGTCGGTTGAAGGTTGCATACTGACCTGACACACTGACCCCGACCCAGTTCTGTCGTCGGGTTGAGCTAGTGTCCTAGTACCAGTCGGGGATGTCGCGGCTACAGGACGGTATTCAGATATTTTTGATGTTGCAGAGCCCTTTATCTGGGTTCCCTTAAGACTTTGGTGTATATGGTACTAAGAAAAATTGCTTATGTTTTCAAGATCTACACGTCGTGTAAAGGAAAACCCCAACTTTGCGGACACCCTGTATACAGGGTGACTTCGAAGTTGAGTCATTTATTTTAACAGTGAGTAGATCTGATCAAAAGAAATGTTTTTTTCCTTTACCATTTTTCTGGTAAAATTAAAGTAACAAAGTTATAGCCCTTTGAAAGTTTGAGTACCGCCCTGTCTCAATAATAATATCATGTACTCGTGTTTGGCAACAACGGATATAATCCGCCTTACGGGTTCATCGCATCGGAAACAAAAAAGCGAAAGAATTTGGAACGATGTTTTTGCAATTAAGTATTTTATTCAGTTCAGTTATACATACAGTCAGTGTCTGTCGGTTAGCGTGTGAATAGTGTCTGTTGCGTGGCTCAAACGAAATAAAAAATGGCACATGTTTATTCGGATCGGTTTCCCAATCGAGTGCAACCAACCCCTCGTGCCTTTGTTAATGTAGTACAACGGGCTCGTGAATCAGGTGACTTAAGACCTCACAGGGGACCTCACGATCAAATACAGGTCCGCACTGAAATACTTGTCGGGAGGATAATTTATAAAACAAGGTAAAAATTTTTTTTTACTTTTTTTTTATTTTTACACACATATTCTGGTTTATCTTCCTTCTACAATCATTATCTGAAAATTAATGACTCAACTTCAAAGTCACCCTGTATAACGTACTCGTATTCTCGTAAAATAAATTCATTTTTGGTCTTGTTGCCTTATTGAAAGAAGGCTGTACTCGAGGGGTAATTTGAAAATTGTTTTAGAAATATATAATTTTTTTATTCCTTGCTGGACAAACAGCACACTTCGTTAAAATTGACAGACTCCTCACCTACGCTAAAGTCCTTTTCCTTGGCAGATATGGAGCCAAATACGTAGAAGTTCTGTTTTCCCATTCGCACCGTGCCAAATACGTTCTCAATTTCGAAAACGATATGGGTGTTCCTGATGTTATTTTCACTTATATTAAAGTCATTTGCGGTTCTCAATAAGCACAGTGATATACAGGTATATTTTGATACATAGATGGTTGAAATCATTATCCAGCGGTGGTATAAAACTAAAAAAAAAAATCGTAGCCAAAGCATAAGCCATATCTATAACGACAGTAAAGTCATAAGTCAAACTTATCTACTCGCCTGACCCACTCGCTTACAATCACTATTAGAACTGCTATCAGTCTGAAGATATAGTACTTGTTCTCCTTGCTATCATCAGAACTAAATCCAGAACCATCTTTGTTCTCTGTGTCATTGAAACATCCATTTTTTTAATATGGATTAATTTCCGTTGGCATAAAAATTTGTGGGATCTCGTGGTTGGTCTTAGACGTTATTTAGAAATTATGGCGACAAATATGAGCGAATTGCCAGAAACAAAATCTTCTGATATAGATACCTACTCCATGGGTGTTTTTAGATGGAAATGTGGTTTTTATTCAAATGTTGCTCAGGTACTTTTCAAATCGCTTCATCTATTTCCGTATTTCTTTATTCTGCCTCTTCTCCCATTGAATATATCTACGTTCAGGTAATCTAGACATAGCAGCATAAATAAATTCGAAGAATGAACCAAGATCAAGTGTCCTACGGTTGATCCGAATAATACACAAAAAATGGTATAATGCACCCGAATATGAAGATACGCAATCAAAGTAAAACCAAAAGGATGTGTGACACTTAGAAGGGGGCTTTGGCGTTGTTATTTAGGATTGGGAGTTTTAAATTGATCTAGACAATGTTATTTGTCGATTAATAACTAATATTTTTGTTTTCAGATGTTTTGGTATATACGGTAGCTACCGAAGAGACAGATGGATACCTACGATACATGGATTCTGCCAAGGAGTTCGGCATCAAGCCAAACATCCTTGGTTTCGGTCAGGAATGGAAGGGAGGAAAAGAAATAAGGACCAAACCTGGTGGAGGATGGAAGATCAACCTCCTTAAGGAGGCTCTGCAAAAGCATAAGGATGAATCCGACAAAGTAGGTTTCCAATTCGATAAGAATTACTTTACTTGCTAAAGGTGTATATTAAGAGTATTGTCTCAATCATATTTGCTTGCAATCAGTGAAACTACAAATGATGAATTAATGACATACGTAACGTTTTGGGTGTTTCAATGCAAAAAGATTAGAGTAGACTGCCGAAACGTCAGTTAACTCACAATCGTTTTATTCCTTCATCGATCAGATAGATCGTGGAAGGAAGATCAAACATTCTCTTATCAGGGTTCATTTCAAACAAACACTTTTTCAAGGTTGTCCTCTTCACGGATGCGTATGACGTCATTTTCTCCAACAACTTGGATGAAATCCTGAAGAACTTCAAAGCAACAGGAGCAAAAGTACTATTTGGAGCAGAACCATTCTGTTGGCCTAACCCAGAATTGGCTCCAATGTATCCCGAAGTGAAGGATGGGAAGAGGTTCCTCAACTCTGGATTATATATGGGGTAAGTATGGTAATTGAACAATTCCGAAACCACTGTTCTTCTATTCTTTACTCATTCCTTCCCTTGTTTCTTATTATCTTCCTTCTAACTGACTTTGTCATCCATTACTGACTGAACTACAAGGCCTTAACCAGGAGCAACGGTTCGACGGACGGCTCTGACAGATAATGGCGTTTAGAGGAGGATGGTATCTTCATACTCGTATCTGACACCATCATTCTCAAGTTTCAGCTACGATGTTAAGAAAGCAGCCTTTGTACGCATATCCTCGTAGTTACAAATGGATATTATGTAAATTTCACACTTTTAATATATTAATTATATAACGAATATCCCTTCAATTTCGTTTCTAGTTATGTTCCTGAGTTACTGAAGTTGCTGTACAGAAAATCAATCGGGGATGACGAAGATGACCAGCTGTACTTCACGGAAGCTTATTTGGACGAAACGTTTAGAGAAAGCATCAAGATGAAGCTGGATCACACTAGTACACTGTTTCAAAATTTGAATGGAGCTACATGTTAGTATCAATATTCTAAACATCCAAACAGTAACCTCTCGATTTTTGTCGGTTTCGTGTCTTCACGACAAACGTTATATCTATATAGAGCACCTTTAGGCTTCGATCATTTAATGCAGAAGCAATGCATGTCGAGAGAACTCGGTTTCGGGCATTCCAGTCTTGACAAGTATCCTGGCGTTGCGGCTGCTGTGGAACTGTGCCGCGTCTGGCGCATCGAGCGGTCAAGTATGAGGGAGGCGACGTTGCCAGATGGACAGTACTACCCGTAGGATGGGGAAAGGATGTCTATGTACTAATTGTATAGGGCTGACATATCTTTATGACACTTACAATGTTGGGAATAGGGTAGAGGGCAGTCCTGTCCCTCAGATTTTGATCTTAGAATATCTCAACAAGATGTAAGCAAAGTTTTCGCCTGACAATCAAAATATCTTTCCTTCGAGCATGTACAATATGAAAAAAGCTACCTCTGCATTAAAGTGGAGAATTTCAGTACGTGTTTGACTAATATAATAATTAATTTATCGCATACAAAAAATCTAGTCAATTCGTGAAGGACTTAAGATTTTTTGAGTTTTGGCCCTTGACAGCCTATGTACGAATGATCTACAAGCGAATTGCTGTAGTAAAATTGAAGAAGTCTATTTCAGAATGACCAGATCAATTTAAATGCTCACTTTTATATAACTGAGTGCAAAAGTGGAAGAGAAGCAACTCACCTCCTCGTACGCCAGTGAAAAGGCGATGTGTTGTGCATTGTGCCCAGCAAAAGAATGCAAGAGGGAAAACCGTGATGAGCGTCGCTAGTAAACCTTCTGCAAAGTTGACGGAGTTAATTTGCTCCTGAGAGGTATTTAATATCAGCCACTTCGATCAGCATTAACCATTCAGTAGAATTTTGCCTCAAGCAACCTTGAAAGCTCTTTTGAGAATTTCAGCGTCATCATATATTTTAATAATCGTTGATTAAAATAAAAAATGCGCAATTGTGTGATATTTGTCGAATAGGGAATGTTTGTCGTGCATTCAGTAATACTTTCAATGAATGTATTCCAAAATTAGTCATCAAGAAATATATGTCTGCAGAGTGACTGGCAAGATCTATATTTGTTGTTTGAAATTTGATGACAATATGGATGATTGAGATGTTGTTTTTCGGACTTCCATTGTCTATAAGGTTTTTTGATTCACGACGTTTCTACCATCTTCAGTTGAATCAAAAAACTTTATAGACACTGGGAGTCCGAGATACAACATTTCAGTATCTATATTTCCTGCTCATATTCCTGAGCCTTACATGTTTTGCTGGGCAGATGATACGTGTATAGTTCACGTAAACTTATAGTGTCTATTTACATCCTTTTAACGACGGTCTTTAAAAAGCCAGTCATAAAACCGAGAAAGCGGTTCCTCTGGACATACCTGCTAGCTTGTGGAGGTACGAGGCGCAGGAAGGAGGTGGGGTCTAGCGGTTTCGAGTCAGTTATTATGTTACAGAGCAGTCAAACTAAATGATTTCGTTGCTATGCTAGCATCAAAGCAATGTAATTTATTTTAGATTTGCTACATTCCAAACAAACATATGGAACTACAAGTGCTTTTGACTCTATTGCACGTTGCTCAAATGTATGATTTATACAGGTGAATCAGATTCCATTATTATTTAGACCTGTATCATATAACCATACTACTCGCGAGTTGGAACCACAAAGAAGTAGAAAAAATATAGACAGACAATATGTCTGTCGTGAACTATACGCGAATCTCGCTGCACTCGAAACATGACAGTGGCGTGCAGTGCGTTGTTGTTTTATACCGTTTTATTTACTTTACAGCCGAAATCGAAATCTACGTAAACGAAAGCAAAGATAAGAAGATTCCAGAAAAGTACGTAGTGAAAAACTACTTCACCCACACCGAACCGATGGTGATCCATGGGAACGGTTTCTCCAAACTGACTCTCAACTATCTCGGCAATTACGTGCCGAACATGTGGAACTCACTCGAAGGTTGCATCAAATGTAAGGAGAGGACCCTGAACCTGGCCAACCAGCCTGTGAAGGCTATGCCTTTGGTATACATGGCCATTTTCATTGAGGTTAACACGCCATTCTTGGAGGAAGGATTGCAGAAGGTCTATAATCTGGATTATCCTAAGGAGAGGATGCATCTATTCATACACAACGCTGTAAGTAAACATCGGCTGTTGCCAATACTGTTCTAACGGACAAATCAAACTGCGACTTGCCATAGATAAAACTAGGTTTTCTGACAGGTCAAGAATGCCAATAGCTGCATATAAATGTGAATGTCCATGCGGTGTGTCAACATAACATCTGAACCATAAAACAGAGAGACGTAAAAATGTGAACAAAATTGCGTCAATCGCGGCCCTCCATAACCTCAACCTGTGATTGATAAGCGATATATATATATATATACGTATATATATATATATATATATATATATATATAACATTTGTTACTAACATAGAACATTGTTTTTAAGTAATGCTAAGATCTTCCGATCACGTTTTGTATCTTTGATGGCATTAGTCTATTGACAGCCGGATTCAATGCTAGGGAAATTTGGTTACCTTATTAATGGCGCCACTTTCATGTTCCGAGGGTAATAGTTATTTGGCGCAGAAATACGTTATGGTCTTATTCTTCAATTTACCTTGTTAAAAATATTGCCTCTGATTTGTATTACCCTGTATAGTACAAAAATATCCGGGAGCTTACATCTGGACCTTGAATTTTGAACATATTCTGATTCAGTTTTATGCGATAAGTTATTCAAAATGCATAAACAAATATTATGCATGTTGACAGGCCCAAAGCTGCGTCAAAAATTGGTCAATTCTCGCCAACAAATTCCAAAAATTGTTTTTTTGCTCCGGACAAAGTTTGTTTGAGTGTCAAGTGTCATTCATAAAAAGGCTCTTATGTCTTTTTTCTAAAGTCAACAATGTTTGGTTTAGTATTGAAAAGCAGCAAAATTTCATTGTTGACCCCGAAAAGCAGTCTTTTTTTGAATAAAACTATGCAAAAAACGAATCAGAATATTTTTCCGAGCGGATACTTCCTGGACTGTATCCGTTCTAGAAGACTAATTCATAATCCGAAATCCAGAATATCTTCTAAAGTAGGAATTTGTAAAGTGCTTTGAGTCACCACCAGTTAGACATTGAGCGATAGTCAACCAGTCCCAGTGGCGTAGAACAGTTGGTTTCTGGTCACCGCGAGAGCTTGTTATTTGTTAAAATAATCCTCTGGAGTTTGACCTAACATGATATTTATATAATAAGATATGTTTTCGCTTTGTTCCGTTTTCATAGTTATAGAATAGATTTTTTTGGCAATAATGTTCGAATTTTGAAGCATCTTACAAGAATTTTCTGATTTTAAGCTGCTAAATGCCTCCAATTTTCCAGGCCAAGTATCATACGAGCCTTGTGAAGAACTTCACTGAAAAATATGCAAGCGAGTATTTGTCCTTCAAACAAATCTTAGCAGAAGATGGCACGCCAGAATGGACTGCTAGAGACTTGTCACTGTAAGTGTATATAAAATTTGTCCCACTTTCTACAAGCTTTTATTCAACTTGACCCGCTAGTATGTTAGTACGTTAGTGTTTATGAGACTAATCTTGAAACTGATTCTTGAACCAGTTAGCCTTAACCACTGAGCTAAAATTCTAGACACGTGTATGGTTCGAGTGATAATACAAAAAGGCCGACTTATGATTTTCATAATTTTGACTAATTTATCTACCAGTGGCTAAAAAGTGACAGCGTTGTATCAAAATAATACTAATGCTTACCAGTGGAAACATTTCCCAACATTAAACTTTTGCCACTGCAAATTATGTGAGAAGTACCCTGTACCATATATCACCTCAATCATCTGCCAACGCTCGCACTTTTAAACAACAACACTATATATTCGAATTTAGTGACAAAATAAGTGCACTTTAATCCTCACTACAGAATATGAGAAATAGAAGACAAACAAATCCTTGAATGGTTTCTTTTACATAGTCTGAATTCATTGGACGATGGTGGTCACGGGAGCTTTATGTTGAATCGACGCAAACACATATTCTGGTCCTAATACCCGATGATTAAGCTGGTCGTCTGTCATGTAAAACAGTTTTTAGCGTGGTGTCTTAAATTTATTCAATTACAAATTATTTAATACCAACCTTGCCACCTACCATATCAGAATTAAACAAACAACCTGCGTCTCCATGAATAGTAAAATGCAATAGAAATATTTTGCTCTTCAACAGTCTGGAGATATTTTACAAACAGAGATATCATCTTCTTTGAAAACCACATCTTAATATTGGGCATTCAATTAAGCATACACATCATCAAGAGCAATAGCCCGCCGCCACTGGAGACGTTCCAACCAATACGCGCGCCACTATAGATTGTGGCTCTTTTTATCTATAATTTAATCCTCCGACATTACCTTCCAGTATCAATCATGCTTTTTAGACCATCTTCTTCGCTAATGCAACGTTGCAATTCGCTATTTTTCGAGGCCAGAAAATGTTTATGCAACTTCGATGGCTCATTTTTGTACGAACGTCTCACGAATTTACGCAATATATGATTTATATTTCAATGTAAATAAAGTCAGAAGTTCTATGAAATTATTAAGCAAGGAATTTAACATAAAAAAGTAAAAAAATCATTGAATGGAAAAATACATTTTAAAAGCAAGCCTATATAATGCTATTAAAACGAGCTCAAAATACAGGAATATTTTTTTCGGCAGGAAATATGCCGCTTGTACATAAACTTCAAAATATATTGAAGCTCGTTCGTCTGAACTTTTTACTTATATAAAAGAGTTTTAAGTTTTATCAGTAAGAGGAGGAATCGGTGTGACTCGCTTTTATTTGAAAACTTGAGACGAATGACTTTCAATTTCGCTTAAAGCTTAAGAAGCATAAAACGGCATATTCCTAAGTGAAAAAAGAAATAGTTCTAAATTTATAGTTTGCTTTAACAACTAAATAAAGACTTTTATAAAAAACTGTATTTTCTTTTATTTATTAACTGTGACATTGTAATGTGCGAAATTTGTAAATTATTAAGTTTTCAATAAAATCACAAAAAATAAGCAGTAATTTGTCTCAAAAATATGCTATCCTATATGCTATAGATTCGTTTTCAGTTCACGAATTTTCTATAATCCCTTATTCTCTTTGCTTTTAAAGTGACCAAAGTACTGCAAAGAACGTGGACTGGTACTTCTCTCTGGACTCTATTGTACATTTGGACAACCCACAAACGTTGCGCCTGCTGATAGAACAGAACAGATCTGTGGTAGCTCCACTCCTGGTACGATCTGGAAAAGCCTGGAGCAACTTCTGGGGAGCTCTCACTAAGGATGGATTCTATGCTAGATCTAAAGACTACCTGGAAATTGTCTACAACAAGAAACGGTGAGTGACTTTTGAAAATTGTCAATCATGTTCTGTATCAGGATAGTGTTCTTTTAATACCACGCAAGAAGGTATGCTTTGTTACTTGCAGCCGAGAACGCAACGTTGACCTGATTATACAGCTTTAGAGCAACAAAGCAGGATACGTGTTCTCATAGGCACACCGCTGTGGTTTGATTTGCCCAGTCAAAAACATTCTGATAGTGAGATATACTAAGTGACATATAAATCCGAACACCCAGTTTAAATGGTTTTATTTTAATAAAATTTTGTATAAGTACTTAATGAAGCATAATAAGTAAATGATAAAAATTTCAAAATGATTGCACTGCTTTAAAGCCCTTTGACCTTTAATAATGTGTGGATGCACCCTGATGTGCTACGCATTCTCCAACGCGCCTAGGCATGCTTCTGATCAGGTGGTCAATGTCCCCCTGTGGTATCTCATTCCAGGCAACCACCAACTCCTCTCGAAGTGCTTCTAGAGTCTGAGGAGGACGTTGCAAATTGAGCAATCTCCTACCCATCATATCCCACACGTGCTGAATTGGGGATAAGTTGGGAGATCTTGGTGAACATGGTAACAATGTGACATCATTATGTTGAAAGAAGTCTATTGTGACTCTTGCAACATGTAGTCGGGCATTACCTTGTTGGAAAGTTGGATCTGCCAGGGTGTCAAGATAGCGTAAAAGATGGGGTTCTAGACCTTCGTGGATATAACGCTGCTCGTTCATGTTACCTCTGATGAAGATTAAAGGTGACCTGGAACCATAAGCTATAGCACCCCAAACCATAACTCCAACAGTGTGATGAACATGTCTTTCAACAAAAAACTGTGGATTCCTCCTTTCACCACGTCGCCTTCTAACCCTGGCACGACCATCGTGCATGCCTAAACAAAATCGAGACTCGTCACTAAAGACAATACTGTTCCATTCCTGATCCCAGAGTGACCGTTGTCTGCACCACTCAAGGCGATTACGTCGGTGTTCTCGAGTTAAAGGGAGGACCCAGTGTGGCCGGTATGAAAACAAGCCAAAACTTCTCATTCGTCGGTAAACACTTCGCATGCCAATAGGTCTTCCGTGTTCTGCAAACCATTCATTTGCAATGACCCTGGTAGTGGAGAAACGGTCCCTTAAGGCCAATAATCTTAGGCGGCGATCTTCACGGTCTGTTGTTCTACGGCGGCGTCCAGTGCCCCTTGCTCTCTGCGTACGGCCTTCTCGAAGCCATGCCTGACAACACCTAACCACAGTGTCTACACTTCTTTGCACTCTAACTGCAATTGCCCGAAAAGAAAGTCCAGCTTCCCGAAGTCCCACTATACGGCCCCTATCAAACTCACTAAGTTGACGAATTCGTACAGGTCTCCGTACTCTAAGCATCGTAACCGATCGTAAAGGATGTCAAGAACCAAAATCCGCCAACGTTGATTCTTTACTGCGGCTGAAATATTCATTTTTAGAGCGTTAGTGAATTAAAAAAAAGCAGTATAAAAACCGGAATGTCCTACTGATAAGGCTGAATATTTTTTCACTTGTTTTTTACAGTAAGATAAATACATTCACCAACTTTTATTAAAATAAAACCATTTAAACTGGGTGTTCGGATTTATATGTCACTTAGTATATAATGTGCTACATCGGATATTGTTGCATTACGTTGAACCTACATGTCTATAGTATCGCGACAGGGAATATGAGATTTTGTAGCCTTGTATGATTCTGTAAATGGTCGTCGTTATCCTAACAGTGTCTTATGTTTTATTTCCTCAAAAAGGTATGGTATCTGAAGTCTTACGTTATTAGTCCAATGTTCTATATGATCTGACTAGCCTATAGTTGCGTTCATTTTGTAAGTGAAGTGAGAGATGAGGCTGTCAATCAGTGAATGTCTGACTCAATCCAGGGTTTAAAAGAACAACTGACCTAACCTTGTGTACCTGAGATTGTGTGTAATATATTCGCATACTGCATGAATTATCTCATATTACATTAAACCAAAGACAAAATCACAAATGAAAACCAATTTTTTTTTAAACAATCTAACACCTTGTGAGGTGAGCATATCTTATATTGTGTGTGAAACGAATTAACTCATATCACATCTCTCTGTATAGATGTTATCTGTCTATCTGAACCACAATACGGAGAATCATGAAAATTTTTACACTTACCAACTGATCCCCGAGGAAGGTTATAGGCATGTTCTTATTGGCTAACTCATCGTTAATTTTGCAATCAACTATCGTGGCAAGTACCAAAATCTTCAGCGTCAGCTTCAAGCCGGCAACAGCGCGGCCTGCCATCGTCCCCGTGACCGTCAAGCGATATAGACATTTTATTTTGCACTAGCGGTTTTCTCACGCTTGAAACTGTTGCTAGCATAAAACATTACTTTTATGTAATGCCATCAACTTCCGTCCATGTTTTGAATCCTTGGTAGAATTGGTAATTTGGTTACTTTAATAGTGGCGCCACTCTGCGGGTTGAACCGCGGGGCAGAAAGCTAGATGGTAATAGATCTAAATCAAAGTCTAAATCACAAATAAAAACCAACAATCTTTTTATTAAATCTAACACTTATTTCATCCGTATAACTAGTCCTAATCGAAAGCGATGCTGAAATCTGTCTTGAAGGATCTCCTGTCGATAGAATACATGTTGTCCGCTGTACACTCGTACACCCCAGCATCCATTTGCGTGGCGGGGTCAATCTCCAATTTGCTCTTTATTTTGTCAGTGCCCATTTGCCATTCGTGAATCTAGAAAAAAAATTAGTACATGACATAGCTAGGTTGAGGAGTTAACTATTACTGGTCGAGCACTTTTACCTATAATGTGCGATATCAATAATGGCCTTCTTAAACCAAGTATAGAATTTTTTCACCATCGCATTTGATTTTATAAGATTCATAAATTTTTATTGACAATATTATTGACCTTAGCTTATCCGTAGCAATTATGACATTTAATACTTATTTTACCAATGCTTTGCAATATCTAGTAGTCTAGTGTCAAACTGACAAAATCAAACGAATACTTAAAGTTAGTTCCAACAAGCAGATCCGAACTAGTCCAGAACTAATTCCTAACTATTTTTCCGCGCTTGCCCGATGTAAGAACAGTTCAGAACGAGTTTCGCACTACTGTGTTGAAGTAAAACTATTTGAAATTATGATGTTTCTGGATGCTAGATGGTACTTGAGATAATTTTTGTTTTGTTGACGCAATATAGATGTTCTTAAAAATCGGGTAAACGAGATGGCAGATTTAACACTTGGTGAAAAATGTTCAGGAAATAGTATGAAGTTCTTCCATTTTTGGAGCTGGAAGGATTTATAGATGATGCATGATCTGTTGCTATATCCTCAAAACTCAGCTTCTCAGCTATGAACAGCTTATCGGCGTATTTTATACTGTAAACGCGCAAGCTCTATCAAATTCGAAATTTTAGTTCCCTCTCAGAACCAGAACTATTATAATCGGTTCAGAATCAGTTCGGAATTCGTAAGATCGGGGAAATGCAAGTTACTGAATTAGTTTCATTTTCTGTTGTAATTTGGCTCAGTCTACGCTCTGTCCAGTTCAAAACTAGTTTGATGATTTGTTGGAACAGAGCTAATAATTTCAGTGACTGAGGAAAGTAATGCACTGATATTTCTTGGTCATATTTTAATTCAGCTAGCATCAAAAGTCGTTTTCCAATACTTTTCTGATTATTCAAATACTTAAGGAGGATAGCGAGGAAGCGAATACTAGTTAATTGTCACTCGTTCCCTCAGTCATTCTGAAATATAATATAATAAACCACCATAACGAACTTAACAGGATAACTTCATTCATGCATTATTCAGCTTCAGTTTCTTGTTGTCATTATTCACCTAGGGAGGTAGCGGGAGAAAAGCTACTTGCCAGTTGGTCACTGCAGTCAATAATGGTTTCACGGGTTAGTAGTACAAAAAAAAAATTAATGTCTTAGAAAAGTTTCAAATGTAACTGATGATCAGAATGTTCAAAGCTTTTTTGCGTTATCCAACGGTATCAAAATATAAGCGTATCTAAGCTGAAGCTTAAGAAGTGAAGGCGACAGTTACCCAACCTTGAATTTCTGTTTTGTGGATACTTTACCTGAGTAACGAACGATTTTTTTCGGGTTATTTCGGTAAAGTTAAATGAGGTAAAAAATACCGTGGAGTTTGAATTTCTGGTACATCGGGGTCACTTTAGTACCTGTGACGTAAGCACCAGTCGAAAACCTCAGGGTGTCCTGTTAGTTATTTTGCGGTAAGACATCAGCGAAGACAAAGGAAATTGAAACAAAATAGTCACTGTTTATTTGGTACCGGTATTTCAAGTATTGTCTTGTTATATGTTTGTTTATAATTACTGATTGAAGTTGTCGCTGTTCGCTTGGTCCTCTACTAAGACTACTCAGATGGATTTTGTATGAGCATTTCTACGGAGCTCTGATAATCAAGAAAGACGGTCACGCTCTGACTACTCGAATACACTCAATATGACATTGAGTAAACTGACCCCGAATAGATAATTACGTTATTGCTGTAGGAATGGGCCAATTTCGGTTTTCAAATGCGACACACCGCGCGGTGAGAATTTGATACTGACTCACATAGTCATAATACCACAAAACATTTTACCCTTTGACGTAGGAGGGCAGGGAGACAGGGTCGGACTGGTTTATTAAGAGTTCTTTGGAACTTAACATCTCGGTTATCTTAAAGCTTTGGTATATATAAAATATGAACTTTAAAGGCTGGAAGACGTGACTTGAGGATTTATCTAACAAATGTTACTTTTTGCGTTGAAAATGCTTATCCGCCGTGTATCTCAGTTTTTAATGTACATGCATATCAAATTAATTTTCTGGAATTTTAATAATACCCACTCCGCCGAACACCGGGTACATTCATGAGATTATTATTTTCAAAGTGATTATTTGTAATCATAATTTTAATTTGTATCTCCAAAAGAATGCACTCAGTGGGGTCGAACTGAATTAAAACTATTTCCAATTTGTAACGCTCAAACATTCGTTGTTAGAATTTATACTTTATGTGAGAATCCATTAATGACACATTGATATCAATGCAAAAGTAAACTAGCCCAATTTGGTCAAGGTGACTTAATCGCGGCTAAATGGGTCAACCATTTGGAGCCCATGTTACTAGATTCACAAAAAACCTCATAGAAGCTATACAAGACAACAAGACAATTTTTTAAGGTATCTATGCTATAGAATATGATGTAGAAAAATTCACATCTAGAGATGGGGTCCATGAAAAGGATTACTGGCTTGTTATTTCTAAAAGATAGAAGAACGTTTTTTGGACATGTGCGTCATTTTCAAATTATTAAATAATATAATTGAAGACATAAGTGGATACAGCTGACATGTAACAAAATCATTATATGGAGAAAATTCACTTCAAACTTTTTTATTGGAACTTTTTACGTATTGAAATTTTAAATATTTAGTTTAATTAGTTTGATATTATCTTGTTTTTGTAACAAGGCAACCACAGAATGAAAGAGTAACTCCTTAGGTTTTAATGCAAAAAATGCAATTTTTTAAAAAATGTTTCATAACACTTTTATTCACTTGTGTCTTCAATTGATATAATACGAGAAATCTGAGACAATACAACATGTTGTTCTGCAATAAATTTGGCACTAGACATACCCAAAAGCTCTCACTGGCTCGGCTCATCTCTTACGTAAATGAAGATGGTGATACGGACTTTTTTGAGATTCCCTATAACGTTTGTAGAACCAGGCTGGACAGGCGACTTGTAATGTTTAAGTGTAGTGTAATTGAATTTTTATTAATTGTCATGTAAAGTGCGGTGAAGATTCAAATTCTTAAATTTTTTATTGTGCAATTTTAGTCGAGAATCTACTCATGACACGTCATTAGCTTCAGTGCAAAAGCGGACTATCCCAGTATGGGCAATGCGATTTTATAGCAGTTAAATAGTCTACACAACTGGCCCATTTACGATATCAGAGTTTACAGAAACGACATGAACCTTGAGAATTAAAAAGTCACGTCCACTCTTAAGTCGTACAGATACGGAATATTGGAAATACAAGAATCTTACAACTCAACATAGAAGTAAGCTTAATGCCCTATAGTAATTAGCACCGTCCATCAAACTATGACAAATGGTACAATACTTGTTTGGCCTAAACGAGAAATCTGCCATTCTGCTAGAGGGTACGAGATTACCCAAACCTACGCTTCAAACAAAACAGACTCATGCTGTTCTGCTGAATGTACGGATACACATTCCAATAGTGAGATCACTTTGCTTACAGCGTTAATTTCATCTTGTATTTTTTATATATCTGTCATCTATCAGCTGTGTCACGTAAGCCATACGAATAAATAAATAACTGACATCAACGGAGCACCTAGACACCTGATACAACATGAAAGTAATTAGGTATCTAGGTATCTGATCTAAGAAAACATCGCGAAGTGTGGCACCATCGCGTCCTACCGGTGGTCTGCACCGCTTCAGAGACTGATCCATTGTCAAACAAATTTGAACGCTATTCCCGTGAAAATTTGTCGTTCTTATACAACAGTGTCTATTTAAACTTATCAAAACACGAAGTCTAACTTGAACTTTTAATACCTAATATATTTCAGGCAAAGTTCCATAGAGTAGTCAATAGCAAAATATACTCCATTTGCTTAATTAACAACTGTACTTCAGATCAGATTACATAAAAATAGCTCAAGGGTACACTAAACCTATTTCCTACGTTGAAGCCGGAAGGTTTTATGTAATATGCAGTACTGCCCAATGCAATAAGCCAGTGACCTTCGTAGTTCATTGATATTTATTATTCAAGCCCTGACCTTCCCTAACAGTTAAGCACTTACGTGGAGGTACTGGTGTGTGAATATCTCGCTCCCGTCTTTGTACCATGTTATGTGTGGCCTTGGGTTGCCTCTGGCCACGCACAAAAAGGCTATTTTGTGGCCTAGCACGTATTCATAGTCAAAGTGGGAAGCTAGTGTTATCTTTGCACCCTGAAACAGAATAAGTCTCGTATAATTCTAAAAAAAAAAATTTTTTTTCACGGTTGACTATAGCAAGGCAATGTTAAACTTTTTGTTTGCGTCTCTTACCTCTACCACCCCTTCATAAATATACATTGGCTGTTCCACCACAGCTGAGTTATTTTTTGAAAAAAAAAATTGTGGCAATTAAGGCTTGATGTACCTTTCAAAAAATATTTTTTAAAAGTGTAACTCGTTTTGTATAAAAAATACATTGTGATATGAGGTAAATGAGAACATTATAAATACCAACTGAAACCATTTTTCTGTTTTGAAATGTTTCTCGTACTCCTCTAAACAAATTTTGTGGTTTCTTTACAATAGTTTGAATGTTTAGCACATTCTTTTTTAATGAAATCGATAAATATTCCTGCGGATTAACTCACCGCCTTTAATATTTCCAAGTAATCAACATGTTTGATAAGTTTTTGAAAGAATGTGAAGCATTTCACTCCTACAGCTTGCGCAACTATGGCCAAAGAAAATATTACTCGATTACAAAAGTAATAATTAAATACCTTAACGCTACTTTGACCTATTTACTGGATTTTGGCCTTTTAGACACCTTTGCTGATTTAGTGAAGAAAGATTTAAGTAGGAAGTACTTCCCTGTCAAATTGGCTGAAACTGCGGTATGTTGGCTTCTATACTACTCCGAGCAAAGGACTCAACATGTGAAATATTCTAGTATTAACGGTTTGCAAGATACAGGATGTGCAAGTACCTATAATAAATTTTTGTAAAGGTATGACTTATTGTTCCTATCTCAAAAAATAAATAAGCTACGATGATGTGTCTTATACAGGAATACACAGAGGTACTGCGAAGTCTTAAAGAAATACAAGAAGAATTTTTTATAGTAATAAGGTACTTACGTTGTTGTTATTGTAGTACTGATCAGATTCCGGGTCCCTGTATTTTCCTGTTATAGGCAAACCAATTTGAAACTGAAAGAATAGTAAGATGCTTGTTTATCGCTGAATATTCTCCAAATAATATTTTAACTAGCCCAGATACTTGACGTGTATCGTAGGCAAATTATGTTATTAGGTACCTATTGTTAAAACTGGGTCAGTTTATATTATAGGATGCGCAGAATAATCCAGAAATCAAAGGCTTTAAGCTTAAGTTCGTTAAACTGTATTCAAAGAGTATTTTTTTTAGTAATGAAATTCTACATATTTTTGCTCAAAAGAAAAGCAAAATAAAAGCAACAATGTAGACTGTCTAGAATATGTTTGTCTCTGCGATATAAATTTTAGTCCAGCTAATAGGAATATTATTGCTTTTACTGGTGACATTCAAACTTTAAAATTCTTATGCAGGCGAAAAACATTTAATATTGTGGGGAAGGTTTGGTCTGTTTTCCAGATTCATATAAAACGCAAAACGACAAAGATCCTATAGCGCTCTCTTACGGAATTTCAGGGTTCAAAGGACGGAACTAGAAACCGGTTTTTCTTCGATAACTCTATACAATTCAACAAACTTTGAACTTTTCTAGCCAGTTAAAACATCACATGGTAGTTTCTATATGAAACCTGTTTATACTACCAGAGATGTACTATCCCTAAAGCAACATTAATTTTTTAAAACTTTATACAATGATCGCTTTACGATAATATTTATTTCATGAAATATTTCATACGCTAGAAGTCAAATGCTTTAAAATACAGGTGAGTGTCAGTACTTGAGGGAGCGATTTTTGGGTCCACTGTAAGAAGAAATTTTCGGATGAACGTATATCCTGAACGTTTTAACCTTTGAGATTCAGAGTGGTAACATTTTGAAATATAGATAATACATTATTAAGATCTGAATACCACTTTCAATATTTTAATGAAATTTGGAATAAATGTAATATGTATATAATACCACTTTAGATATTTTAATGGAATTTGAAATACATGAACTATGTATCAAGAGGTATTTTTAAGGTCACATGTTTCCTTAAAAATCCGCCGGTGGCGTTCACAGAATTTAACCTGCCTATTTTGGCACACATTGATGCCACGCCACTGATTTAATTTAAAATAAAAATCATCCTTGAAATAATCGATCATTTTCAAGCAAATTTTACCTCTTGATCTTTTAAACCCGATGTATGCAATAACCGTGCATCCAACTAAAAAGAGTCCAAATCTGCTCATAAGTGGTTCCAGCTTTCAATTTTTTGTATTTTCTGATGTCAGTGGCATGCAAAATGATTTATATTTGAAAACTTTATCATTCTGTATCTCAAAAGTTAAGACGTTTAGGACATACATTCATCTAACGTTTTCTTCTTAGGATCGACCCAATAATCGCCGCCTTAAATATGTATATACCCAGTATATTAAACCCAAGATACTCTTCTAAAAGGGTTTCAACTTTTACTTGGACATTAGGTAATAATACTTATTAAGCATCAATCAATAGACGTTTTAGGGTTTTTCAGAGTGTAAATAAAGCATCGCTTTAGATAAAGGTTACTAAGGAACATGTTTGTTTAGAATGATGTGAAAACCTAAAAAGATATTATATATAAATTGTTCAAAAAATGCTTAAACAAAGTTGTACCGACTACCTTTTGTCTCATGTTGAGAGGCATCCAACAAACGTAAAACAATGAAAAAATATATAATTGGAAAATGTTTCCCACGAATGCGAGGTTTGCGTCTCGTCTTAAATAGTCCCTTACCTTTGACTTAGTCCTACTCCTCGCCCTGCCTCTCCTTAACTCCACCTGTCCGATGAAACTGACCACGATCAGTAACACAAACGAGTAGCCCAACTTCAACTTCATGCCGGCAGATTCAATGTGCATTCAAGTAGGCTGCGTTTTCCAACAACCAACAGTCCCCCTATCGTCTTTTGTTTTCCGCTCATTTGACAGCAATTTGCACCAATTGGGGGTCGCGTATCGTATACACAAGCCGACCGCGATATAGCGAGGTATCATCATAACGGCAATTGAAAGATTAGGAGCATCTTATTGCCGATAAATTATAATTTGGATAGGATTATTTGCGCTTTCTTCGGCCGAAGGTGACACGTACTGTATTACAGGAAGCCAAATCAGTACTTAGGTCCCGTTGAGTATCTTATCTACGCTAGCGGTTACTCTCAGGGCTTGTTCATCCGGCATCCGAAGTCAAAGGGTTGAGCACTGGCTCGTTAATGGAACCTAAGATCTATTTCGTTCAGATTTCTTTGAATCGCCTCAGAGTCCTTGAATATTATCAAATTTTCTTGACTTACCTCGGATCTCTTGGTATCACCTCATAGAAAGAACGACGTCAAGTATCTGCACTTCACACTCAACGCTGTCATCAGTTTATAGCTGATTAGGTTCGGCACAAGTTAGTATGCTACGACCATGCATAACGGAAAAAGTGATCAAGTGATCAAGATAGCCAAACAGGCTCATGCAGTTAGTCCATGGTCCCTATTGATTTGATGACTCTGCAACCTCGAAACGTCTTATCTACTTTACCGACAGTATCGGCCATCTGGTAACATTGCTGAACCGCTCCAGCCAGCCATGCCATAAGTCGCAGACAGGATTTTTTACACATAGGTATACGTTTGTAACATTGCGATACGCGCCGCGCCTCTGTTTTATAGGCAAATGTATTGGGAAATCTATGATGCGTGAAATATGTATTAGTAGGTCAGTTGAATCTTACCGAGGTAAGGGGTAAAGGGTTGGAGACGTATAAATTTACAATCGTAAAAAAATACATATACCTTCTCCCACCCCCTACAACCCCAAACCCGCCAATGTGTATCCCTTAATTTTTTTTTCTGAAAATGAGCGGAAGCATCACACAAAAAACTACAAAGCCTTGTCGTCCTTGCTTCAAAATATCACCCAAATTCGAGCAGTACTTTCCATGCTATAGAGCCGTCAAGTACCAGCGGAGAGACAGACCGATTTTCAAAAACTACAAAGTTTTTTTATTCTTGCTATAGTGGTAACCTTATGTGAACATTTCATCACAATTTGAGCAGTACTTCTGAAGTTATAGGCGGTTATAGAATTGGCGGTGAGACCGACAAACAGACAGACAGACCGACGGTAATGAGTGACATGGTTTTTTGTGATGAAACATCTAAAAGACCTATCTCATTTTCGAAATTCCTCGCAATTACAATACTTGCTCGCCAGTAGGCGTAGGAAGTATTAAATCGTAAGATCTACTCAGCATCAGAAAAACTAACGAGAATGGACGGAAACTCAACTTTAACCTGATTTCAGTGGATCGACAGTTTTACATAACTTGAAAAGTGACATTATGTCGTTTTTTGATACTATGTAGGTTTTCCTACAAGATGTCAACTAGGAACTACGAGCCCCTTCCCACTTCAGTTGGCCCACTTCAAGATTTGTACCAAAATATGCCTTTATAAACTAAATATGACGAAACTATTTACTTCTAAAACAATTTACTTTCTCAAAAACATTTTAGATACACTCTAGTCGTAAAAAATACATATTTGAATCACTTAGACCTATAACTAATATAACATCTGAACAAATAAACAATGTGCGAATAAATGCGCGAAGTTAACAAAGCAACAATTGAAAGATTACCATTGGGTAACATCACCTTTTTTTTTATTACGGCTGAAATTCGTTGGGGCATAGTGTTAACCAAGTTTTGGCACAAATTTGGGGTAAAACAATCCCATATTTCGTGAAGCTTTTGTCTCAGTTCGGTGATTGTACGAGCAGGATGTTGTCGTAGAACCTTTTTCATCTCGTGCCACAAAGCTTCAATAGGTGACAGATCTGGACTGCTAGAAACCCACTTCAAAAGTGGTACATTATTTTTTTCCATCCATTTTGTGGTCTTTTTTGAGGTATGGCACGCTGCACCATCTTGCTGAAACACAAAATCTTGGCCGGATGTCAAACATTCTTCCATCACTGGTAAAAGCGATTCTTCTAAAATTGCCAAATATTTGTTTGTATCCACATTTCCATCAATAAAATGAAGTTTTCCTACTCCTCTTGATGACATTCTGCCCCAGACTATAATGGATGCTGGAAATTTCACTTTTCTCTTCAGTCAGTCAATATGGAATACTTAATTTTTTTGCGAATAACTCAACTGCGACTGTCACCAACACAAACTTTGAATCGGGCCTCATCACTCCATTGTATTGCACACCATTGTTGAGGTGTCCATTGTCTATGTTCTTTAGCCCATCTAAGCCGATTTTTCTTTTGCAGTGGAGTCAATAGTGGCTTTTCTTTGGCCCATAAACAAGTTGTGCAACTTTACGGTTTTTACTAAACTTTTTTTCATAAGAAAACTTACCTTGCAAGTGCTAAATCCCAGTTTGTAGGCCTCTCTATGAGTTGTGGTCCTCGAAATTCTCCTTCCAACAGCGTCACTCGACAGAGCACTTTGTGATATTACTTTTTTTCACATATCGTGGCTTAATATTAACTGGACCAGTTACGTTATATCTTTTAACAATATTTCTCACACTGTACCGCGATAAGTCTAACAAAGTTGCAATTTCTGAGTTTGATTTCCCAGAATTAAAAAATTTAATTATCAGTAACCGAATTTTCTCGCTAATAACCTTTCTTCTACCCATTTTGAAAACCTTAACTACCCAAAACTATTATAAACGTATTCTGATAGGTATGATTAATAAAAACAATTGTCATGGTTTTTATTTTTCACACCCACCTATGCGTTATAGACTTGTTTTGCATTGAAATGAAAATAGGTTGATATGGTGTAATTGCAACATGTGTTATTTTTATGCTGCAAATTTGATTAGGGAGTGATAAAGTTGGGTGTTTTCTACTATATATTATCAAAATATGCATTGTTAATATTTTAAACCTATAACACCCTGCTACATTTTTATTATTTGTGTTTGATAAGAAAAAAACTAAGATTTCAATAGTTGGGCCAACTGAAGTGGGAAGGGGCTCGTAGCTATCGTTCACTTCATGCTCACTTGAAGCAGGCGCGGAGTAAACTATTTGCACATTACCAGCTATCTAGTCGACAAGATGACATTTTATCAGTTTTTTGAAATTATACTTTGAATAGGTTTTTTAGAAAGATACTCTGCAAAGCGTTCCTTGCGTCAACCATAGAAGCTCAACGTCCTCCCAGAATGGCTTCCTGTTTTGATAGGGTAGATGCTTAACTATCTCATCCCTTGTTCGGATTTTATAACCAAGGGTGTATCACTTTTTAGGCCTTGAAGGTCAATTCTGTACATATTTTTTATACCAAAGCAGCCGCGCAGACTGAAGCCTAAATACCGGCAACTGCTAAAAAATGAGACGATATCGATTATTAATGACATGATGAAGGCTTTTCCGAAGAAATGTCTCCTTGGAACTAGCTGTCATTCACTTCGTGTTTACTTGTACTATTCGTGCGTGATGCCTAAACGTCATGACCCTTGAGGTTTATGGTTTGGTTCTATTGTAATGTAATACCTTCTTCAAAGATGGCGTTAGGGGAGGCCATCCATAGCTTCAAGTTGACACCGATTTTTAATGACATTATATAGATTGTATACGTCATACTCCTGCGGGACACTGCGGATGGTTGTTAATGCGTTTTTTGAACTGTCTCAAGTTAGTAGAACTGAGAACAAACTTCTCAGGCAGATTGTGGCGTACCCAAGCAGTGATCATTTCCAGATATCTCGTCAGAGATATGTAGTTATCATGGTTCCAATGCAAAATGCAAAGGTGCCCTGTTCCGGCCAGTAATTGTGAAAACAGGTGTCCAGCACAAGATATCTATACACAATTTGTGAACTACTTTATGCAGAATTGTAGTTAATAATAATATCAATAATAATATTTATTCACTCAATGTACAAAGAGAACAAAATAAGTAAGTAAACATAGGATAAAAACAGGCCTAATGCCTGTGCATGGACCAGAAATTTTGAGTTGCAACTGTAGAGTACAAATTACAAGAAAGAGCAAAAATTAGTCAGAGTAAATTCATATAGTTGATTTTCGTATTTTTATGAGCTTATGATATTCAGTCCTAGATATAGAATGTAGCCACTTTTTCAAGTTCCTTTAGAAATGACTTCCGAAATTTAAATCTTTTAAATCTCTAGGTATAATTTAATTTTGGCGCTAAATAGGCGATGGCAATAAGCAATTAAGCTTTTTTACTTCTTCACATTATTTTTTTTTTGGGCTTTTATTATTCATGAATTCATTAATTGTCTCTTCGTATTACATGCATCCGTTTCTTCTTTTTTCAATCGTCCCACACCACAATCATCAATTCTTCTGGAAAGTATCGCTACGAAATGTTATAGGCATAGTCATTCCTTCAACTGCACTTTGTGAGGACCCTCTTCTGCATTTACAGTTTTGACTCGCGCGAGCGACAGGAGAGTTGTGAAGGATCTTCCTCAAGAAAGAAAGCGGTCTCAGGCAGCCGCGTAGTCGAAATACCAGGGCACCTCAGCTGCTATAAGCACTATGTGATGATTTTTGAGCTGATCATGGCTAGTATAACTGGTAAAAATCTGCTCAGGCACATTTTTCGACAATCTCGACACCCTAGCGACAAAAGACAGGTCGTACTGGCGAGCTCTGGATGTACGAGGTTTGACACTATTAGGATAGGAGGCAGAAATTAGTTATCTCAGGAGGAAGAGATCTCTAAGGAGCGAATCCCCTTGGCAGGGTGGTAGAAGAGAGCTAGATTGCCGACGTTGGAGAAGGGTCATCGATTAGTCGAACAACCCTCCTCTCGAGCATATCTAATCTAATAACAAATAGCCTAGCTTTTTCCTAGCAGCTGCCGCGATTGATGAGATGTATTCGTGCCAGACCAAATCCTGGGGGATCTAGACTCAGACCAGCTGAAATGAACGAGTCCTTGGTAGAAATCGGCTATCCGTCGAAACCAGATGAGCGCTAGGGCGCTGTTTCTCAATCAAGGTATAGCATTGTCTTTTGGAAGCATTAAACTGTACCGCGTCTTCAAGTAGTGATAACCTCCAGATCTCTCGTCAGGGAGGAGGTCGTCTTGTTCTTTCCACCTCACCGGCAGAGAGTGGCTTGATCGTACAGGAAGGAATGGAATGGATGATATGAAATAAAAGCAATGCTGGAGCCACGTTGGTTCCCTAGGGAATACCCGCGTTGACATTGTTGGACGAAGCGGAGATCCTGTCAGTTACGATGGATATTTTACAACCAGAGCAGAAACCACCCATCTCGCTGCAAACCTTTTCTACACCTAGGAGGTCATAGGCCGGAAGTTTGCATAAGAGGTTACATTAGGTTGCTACGTTTGGTTGATACTTCCTCTAAATAACCCCCGGTTAGTTTGTCTACAATGCTGATTGTAGAAAAAAAAAATGGAGTGAACGCTGAAGGGCTGCACATTCCATCATGCCGCTATTAGAATATTGTGAAGCAGTGGCGTTGTTCCCCTAGAACCAAAACGGCCCATGGGCCGGGGCGCCATGTAGCGAGGGGGTGGCTTAAGCCGCCTCAATCAAAAGTTTTTGATTCTTTTTGTTTCTTTATGAGGAGTAAAACCATACAAGGCACAAGTGTATCTTTTTTAATAATTAATGACTGCCGCTCCTAAGAGTCCTACTTTAAGGTAAATAAGGAATACCCACCAATGAGGAACCCTCAAGGAATAAGTATGCAGTTGGTCCCAAGATTCAACTTTCGGCTTAAGGACACACGCATATTGTTTGTATTCTGATTTAGAACAGCCGGATAATATCACACTTTTTCTACAAAAAAGTGCTAGTGGCATTTTTTAACAGATAAAGTTTCATATTCCTGTGAAATTCTCAATCGCAATTACGAAGGTTTGAGGCTGCATTGAATATGGTATGTACAAGGAGCGACACATGAAAACGTAACATTGCTTTTAATGTGTAATGCATAACATACAAGTAGTGATCAATATGTCACCATGACGTAATCAGTCCTGAATCCTCTCCAGTCGATGGCGTATTTGTTGTTCGCCTGGCATTCGTAGTATCCAGCATCCTTTTGCGTGGTTGGGTCAATCTCCATTTTGCTTTTCATTGTGTCATTTCCCATTGGCCATTCATGGACCTGTTCCAAATAAAATCAAACTTAGAGAAAGATAACATTTCTATCGGTTTCCTGAATATCGGCTTCTACTACGGCCAATGTTACCGAACCTACCGATTTTTCGATATTTCTACCAAAATGAGACCTTATTCACCAAATTCCGGAAACATACTCATTTTCCACAATTTTCTAAAATAATTCAGGTATTTCCAGATTTCTAACCAAAAAAGGGCGGGAACCAAAAATGAAGCTAAAAAGATGAATTCTATGAAGTCTATGTGCGTACAACAGATACAGACTGGTAGATCTCCGACATTACCGTATCACCGGGAAGGCAAAAAGAGACTAAAGCTCTCTGTTTTTAATTAAATATTGAATTAAAACGTCAAGTGATTAGGCCTCTAGTTCAGGGGTGATACAGACAAATATTTACATTTTGATAAACAAGAATGGGAAAATGAGTTTCCGGAATGGTTGCAAAGGAGCTTGAAGAGCGATGAGCTTATTGTACAAGAGGCGTTAATATCTTTTCAAGAAAAAATGGCAACAAAAAACCCGTGTTCTGTGTACGCGCACAATACACAACTATACTTTATTTCGTAGACGGCGCTGTGTGACCCAAAGGCTCGTGATCCACCGCTGATCTTACGATGGCTCTTATCTTTTCCTTCTATGAATTTTGTCCTTGAATCTACCGAATTGCAACGACACTGTTATAGAGTTTGTATTTTTCGGTACACCGCGGCCATTATCGCTGCTACTCGTAACAACTAGTTGATAAGCGAAAACATTCATGTCGATTTTTTCACTATTCCTATGCCAAACATCCGAAATTGCCTCGTAACTGGAAACAATCATAGTTAGCGGCAAATAAACGCTGCTGAGTTCTGGCGTCGAAAAGGGGATCTAAAAGATACTAGCGCCATCTATGATTTAGTACCAGAAGACACAAACGAATTTAGAAATCTACTTAGTGTTTGGTTCTACTACTGACTAATAGATGGCTCTAGGATCTACAATCAACTTTCAGCTGCTATAATGCCTAGGTATTTAATTTGGTATATTCAGGAATTGATTAACGTATTCCACCTCAAGATAACCTAATCACCGTATTACAGAGTCCAAAAAGGATTGAAGATCCTAGCGCTCTCTATCAGGCAACACTTATTGTTTTAGAGTAGAAGTAGATTCCTAAATTCATTTTGCTTTGCTACTATCTCATAGGTGCCTCTAGTATCTTTCAGAATACTGTATACGGATGGCCATCTTAAGATAGAATGCGTTAATCAATGATACTATTCTTAATATTGTGGTCTGCAGTTTGTATGTACTGTTCATAGAATGAGAGAAGTTTAAAAATATACCCCATAAGCTTGAGTTATTGGAAGAAAGAAATGTGCATATTGTAAGAAAGTACCTGGAAGAACTTGTGGTATAGTAATTCGATCCCATCCTTGAACCATGTTATCTCTGGCCTTGGATAACCTGTAATGCAAGAAGGTGTTAAGTTTGTATTAAATGCTAGTTTATGAGGCAAGAGGGTCCCAAAAGTGGTCTAGTTTTCTCTAATTTTATACAATACAGACATTTTAGACGTTTAACGTACCAAGTAGCGTGACCGTTTTTAGTTCCTCCTCCAGCAATTATTAGATATAAAGTAGGTTATAACCTTGAAAGCTTATAACATCGTTAAATCATTGCATTCTAGGTCAAAACAGAATATAAGAAGTTTTATTTCATTTTCTCGATTATACGTTACCTTTAGCCATACAGAAGAACGTGATTTTTCTTCCGAGCATATATTCCAGTTCAAAATGGCTAGCTTTTACTATTTTAGCACCCTGAAAATAGCAATGTTGTAGTACAGGAATTACAGTTAGTTAATAGCTTGATCAAATGACTGATTTTGAGCTACCGTGTCTTGACATCAAGCTTTGCAATTGATATGGATAAATAATCAGTCTACCCACATCTTTATTCTCGTAGTAGCTCTTCGATGCTGAATTCTGGTGCCTGATTGTTATTGGCATTCTGGATCCATACATTCGTCTGCTACCTCTTCCAGTCTTCCCTGAGAAAAAATAATCCAAATTAGCAAAAAAAAGAAGTCGCATACATCTGAATAAATTTGATGCAGGGCTTCTTTATATCTAGATATTTTCGGCACGTCTTTTCTAACTAATATGTGACCATCAACTAGTGCTTGTACAGAATTGCAAGGTATGCTGGAGAGATTGGCCATTAAAATCTGCACCAAATCAGAAGTTATTTTCTATAGTCTGCCTATACAAGAAAGACATTAAATCAAAATATAATCAGCGCCTGTTGAGAGCGTGATCAGCACGTCGATATATTTCAAGAAATGGGGAGCACAACTGTTATTGGGCAGAATCGGTCAGGCCAGAACCAATATCAAGCCCAGGTACGTGGAGTCGGAGACGACTCAGCGGTGCATGCAGTCTCGCTGGCCGACGGTGTTCTGGAGTCAGAGCACGTGAATCAATATCTTTGGGATTGGCCTCTTTCTTCGATAAATTTGATAACAAAGTAATATCGGTGATTGCTATCAAATACTTTATCCATTTTTTTAATATTACGAGTAATTATACTCCGATCCACTACAGAGTTTATTTTATAACTGAAGTTGATTGTATTTACTCGTCTCATTATTTGAACAGCCAAGAAGTCCCAACCTACTTAATAAATTAGAGTACGTATTTGAAAATGAGTGAGAAACTAATAATGTGTCGTGTCGCATTTTCTATCTTTGTCGGACTCTATAATGTCACAGCAGCACCTCTACCACCCACCATACTGAGATGGACGATCCGTGTGCTTTATTCGATCAGTGTTGCCGGACGTTCAAAAAATTATCAGATATACTATATTTCAAAGTCTAAATGTGTAATATCATATTACACTTATTACTAACATATCATTGTTCGTAGTGAAAAAAAATTTATACATACTTCGGTGGAGAAGGCCATTATTGTTCTTGTACTTCATTTCCCTGGGTACACCTCTCTACCAAAGTATGTCATGCTCTATTGGTAATCTATAGCGACTGCCTTATAAAAATGTCACCTGTTCCTTCTAGCCGGTCTAGTGATTTGTTTGCAGACCGTCATTTTTGCCTTAAAAGCTACTTCAAGTAAAACGAAAAAATCCTTGTTACTCATCAGTAAGCTTTGCCCTGAGTATACTCGTATGTCTAGTTGTATTGAACTTATACTAAAGTAAAAGCGAGAAAAGTTTTATAGTTTTTAAAAATCCATGCTTCAAGGTCAACCTTCACGGTCCCTCCAAATGGATTGACGTCAAGTGACGTCATTTTTCAGATGATCTACTTCTATAGGATCATCCACGCTTCAAATGAGGCAGCGTGACCGATGTTCAAACGAGTCTACAGTCATTATATTTTTCGGTTAGATACATGATGGATCTATTGTGAATGGATAGATTTAGTTGTTTTAATTGCACTGTCTTGGAGCCTTGAGTTAAAGGCATAGAAAATGATTAGAGTAGTGTTTAGCTTAGGGCAACAACGATTAGCTTTACAAATATATCGATAAAGCGGTTTTTGTGTTATCGTCAGTCACAAAAAGGTAAGTAAGCGATAGTTGTGTCTTGTGAAGAGCTACTCTTTTCTATCGAAAATCATGTGCACCATACGATTGAAATTATGGTATCGTGGGTTAATGCTTATAGAAGCAAGCCGTCTTTGGTGTTCATCAGAGACAACCCGACTGGACTGCATTCCATCCATGTTTTGCCATATATATGGACGCTCACCAGCCCGCTTTTCCAAAAAAAATAATAAGCGACCACATGAGGGCAAAATCACGGTGGTTCATTTTGAAGACAATCAAGTCAATGTGTTTCCTTGACTCCTAGATATCTCGATCTTTCAGCCATAGATAGATACTGTATTGAACCCTTTGATCATTTGAAAAATGATGTAGGATGGGTCACGGCTGATATCAATTACACTGCACTAAACATAGGAAAACGTACCCTTGCTATGTTTGTCGTATAAAAAAATTACAAATAATAAAGGTGACACAATAAAGATAATATTGCGATTCCAAATGTTAAAAAGAAAGCAGTTATCCTGTGCTACTACATTAGTTAGAACATTAAAAAAACTATGAATAGGTAAAACATATAAATAGACAATAATAAAAGTATATAAAATATAGACTCTTAAACAATCACACTTGAGATACATTTAAGTCATGGTACACGAAATATCACATAAAATAAATGGGTGTACAATTTTAGGATAAAAAATAGTCAGCTAGTGTGTGGGGACTCTTGTCAACAAGATTTTTCTTTAGATGGACCTTGAGAAGGTTAATGATGGTAGTTCTCCTGAACTCTTTGGGTAAATGATTGTAAATCTTGGTGAATGTATACAGTGGAGATTTTTCGAATAATTCAAAAATACATACTACAGACCAAGTTGAACTAAAACTGAAAGAAGTCAAGTCAAATGCTGCGGGTGTTGATGGTATCACTACAAACATGTTGAGAAACGTGTTCTCTTTTTGTAAATATCATCAACCAATCACTGAGTACAGGGAAGTGCCATCATCATGGAAAAAAGCAGTCATAACTCCACTTGCAAAAGTTTATAATGCCATCGATTTTAAGGACCTTAGACCAATAAGTGCTTTACCTTCAATGTCCAAACTGTTAGAGAAAATTGTAGATGATGAACTTCGAGAGCATCTAAAAATCAACAAAGTGTTGCCTGTCACCCAGTCTGGGTTTAGGAAATTACATAATACATCTACAGCGCTTATTAAAGTTTCCAGTGATATAGTGAAATTTATAGACGATGGCATGATAACGCTACTAGTCATGCTAGGCTTCAGCAAGGCATTTGACATGGTAAATCACAGAGTTTTGTGTGAAATACTGCACCATTATGGTTTGACCGGAAATGCCATGCCGTGGTTTAGTAATTACTTGTTTGATAGATCTCAATGTGTAAAATTGCGTGGTAAAGTGTCTACTTTACGAGCTTTGAAGTCTGGTGTTCCACAAGGCAGACAACCTATTTTATTTACTTTTTATACCTCAGACTGATAAAACATATATCATCTGACTGGAATGTACATTTGTATGCGGATGATGTACAAGTTTACAAACCATGTCAACCAACCGATGTAAATTCTTTAATATCAGAACTTAATAAAAATTTAGACATAATTGAACAGTACTCAAAAAAACATTGTTTGAAGCGCAACCCCTTGAAAACCAAAGTATGTTGTGTTGGTTCTAGACTAGCGATTCTGAAGTGTAAACAAGTAATAAATACGAAACGCTGCGGAGTAGAGGAAGAGACCTCGGCGCACGTTTTGTGTCGCTGTGAAGCTCTGAGCTACTATAGGCAGACTATACTGGGGTCCATTACTTTGGACCCTCAGGACGTAAAGGAGCTTGGACTCAAGGCGATTCTCAACTTCGCTAAAAGGGCGAGGCTTGTGATTTAAGTATTGTAGAGGTGCATAAGGGCCCGCTTAAGCGGCCTATGCACTGGCTCCTTATGGTGGCCGGGATGCCTCTAAAATTCAAGATTCATTCATTCATTCAATAAATACGAACATATTTTTAGAAGGAATTAACATTGAACTTGTTGAAGAAACAAAAAATTTGGGAATAGTACTTGATAAGAATTTAAGTTTTGAAAGTCACGTTATAAATAAGCCCAGAATATGTTATTATAAATACAAATCGCTATGGACATATAAGTATATATTAACAAGTGATATCAAACTAAAACTTGTTAATGCATTAATCCTCACACATTTAGATTATTATAGTACTATATATTACCCTTTTATCACTGAGGAAATGCAACAGAAAATTCAAGTTTTACAAAACCATTGTATGAGGTTTTGTTTCAATGAGATAAACAGACGCGAACACATTACTGGGTATTATGTAAGGGAAAATCTTTTAAAGTTCAAATATCGCTTGTTACTACTCTATGCTGTTCTACTATTTAGGGTTTTAGAATATAAATCTCCGAAATATCTTTTTGGCACATTAGTGAAAAGATCTTCACTCCATCAACTGTTACTCCATAATGAATATTGTTATAATATACCAGCCCACACTACCTCAAAATTTAAAAAATGTTTCTATTACATAGCTCCCAGTATACTAAATGATTACCCAATTTTCTTTAAATTAACGTCCATTCACAGCTTCAAATGAAAATTCAAAAGAATGCTATTACAGTTACAATTTAAGGAATCTACAAGTGGCTGAATAAATCTCATTATTAATCTTATTATATTTTACCCGGTGTACCTTTTTCTATGTCACATGGTATATTTATTTGATAAACCTTGACTTACCTCTTCCTCCTCCCCTGGCCGCGTTAGCAGACATAACGCAGCAACCGACGACGAACAATAACCAAAAGAGCTTAACCCACCTCTTTGGGGACATTGGAACTTGGAGCTTTTCGGCTTTAGTTTCGCGCCAAAGAAATTGGGAGCACGAGAACGCGAACGGCGCGCAGTATTGTTGATGGCAGTGATATGAGGTGGCGATTAAGGTCACAATTGACAGGTTTATCGGTCAGGTCATTACTAAATCGCCGACACTACGGACAGAAAGATGAACCCTCAGTGGCGGCGCGAAGATGTTCAAAGGACGGTTGCTAGAGAGGTGTTACGTGAGGCTATCTAAAAGTATCGGAAAATGGACGTGTGGAGTATAGATAGGAGAATATAAGCTATAATTGGTGGTCAGAAGAAAATAGTCACTGCTGCCGATTTGTGATGGTGTGTGAGCCTTTATCGATGCGGAAAGCAAAGACCCATATTTATGTAACATCCGGGTGTGTTACGACAATAGTTCTTGGTAGGTTTTCGCGTTTTTTTTTTTGGAGTGCTGTTGGCAATTTCGGGACGATGAATGAGGGTTACATATCTACTTCATTAAAAAACGATGTGGTTTTATGGGATAGACAAGCATGAGGTATTATAGCCATATTTATGTTTTTTCACTTTTTATGTTTCGTTGTTTCCCATGTTAGATATCTAGCACACAATGGGTTGTGATTCCTTTCCTTTTTTTATGTTCTGTGGTCTTTGCTGTTTGTTCTTACAGATAAAATGTTCTAAAATACGTTTTTATATTTGTGTTCATGTATGAGCACTGATATATTATTCTGGCAATAACACAGGTCCACAAAATAAAACGGTGGTTTGGTTTGGTCCACAAAATAAAACAGTGTTGCGTGCTGAAGGTCCCACGTACTTTCTCTCGCTGACACGATTTTAAAGTCAGAGTTGTGTGACCGACATTGGTGGATGGTCAAAATTTTGAGAAAACAAAAACAATGAAAATCATGTCACAGGTACACAAAAAAATATAAATTGGCATGTTCTGTGGTCTCGCTATATTTCCCATATATTTTTTCTCGCTGAACATAAATCTGGAGAATTACAAATACTGTATGGTTGGTGGATCTGCATCTCTCAGGAAAGGTGTCAAAATGTGTGCTCTTAATGCCTAAATATTTGTCCAGCGACAGTTAGTGGATAGTGGAATCCCAGCACATTCCACTTTTTACTTTCACGCCTACTGGATATATTACGTTTGTTTTTGTTGTTATATGACATGTGCATCACGGAAAACCATGTGACTCATTTTAGTCTGTCTGTCAGTCTGTCGACTGCCGATCTGTCGCTCTGTCGGTCTGCTTAACCACTAATCTGGTAACCACCTATAACTCGATAAGTATCGCTCGGATCTTTATGGAATCTTTACACAACGTTACTATTATTCCAGGGGTGAAAAACTTTGTCGTTAATATACAGGGTGGCCCATCCATGTGTGGACGGAATATTACTCATAAATAAATACATTTTGGGAAAATCTATTTATGACATTTCTCAAATATTGGCAATTACACAGGGTGTCCTAATTTTGACCTACATATCAAAGTTGCGATTTTTGAAATGGAACACCTCGACTTTTATTGCATATTTGGATGAAACAATTTAAAAAAAGATGATTGATATAACATACTATGGGGTTTTGATAATTAGCTACTGAGATGCAAGGTGTTTTGTACTGAAAAAGCGTCCACTTCGGCAACCCCTCAATCAGCCATTTTGAAGTTTGAAGTGCTCAATTTTGTATAAAAAAACTTACACACGTCAGCTTTCATCTTTTTTGTTACTTTTTAGAATATTTATTGTTGCTCATACAGGGTGGTCAAAATCGCAAATTGTACTTTTTCTCAAAAATTTTAAATGCATCACCCTGTATATTTGTGCAAGTGTGGATTCAATTTTCTATAAGCTTTTTTTGGTATAAGGTTTGATTCAGATAAAATTACTAGATTTTGAGTTATTAAGCTTTTAATAGAACAACACACCAAAATTAAGAAAAAAAATCACATCATCCATGGAAACAAAAGACAAACAGTGGGCCACTAAGAGTACAAATTTGATGTAAAAACTAATATCGATCAGAACAGTATAAATCAGCTTCAAGCGTAATAGAGAAAAACAACTATAACAACAACATAAACACACAACGATCACTACTCAAGCCCTAATCTACAAAAACTCCTCGAAAGTCTCCACCATATTGAATACACAGCCGTAGTATTTGGATAAATGACCGTTGCACATCCCTCAGCATGTGTTCCCTTATGTTCAGAAAAGCATCCTTTCCTTCATATTTTCCGGGGTAGTTGGTGGATATCTATAAACCTCTTGCTTAACGTAGCCAGATAGAAAGAAGTCCATCGGTGTCATATCTGGTGATCTAGGAGGTCAAGATATAGTAGTAAGTACATATACCGGTGAAATGGGGTGAATAGAAACAGTTTCGGACCTTTCCTACTCTGTTGCTAACATGGTAGTCACCTTTTTGACAACAAAAAATAAGGAATCTACAGGTCTCGACTTGTAGATCAAAAAGCGCATAATAGATTATTTTTTAAATAGGGGGTTTTCCAAATAAAAAATAAAAACGCTCTTTTTCTATTCACCCTTAATGTGGGGTGAATAGAAACACCCATTTAAATTGGTCAAATTTGCTATTCTACCCACACGAAGGCGAATAGAAAAACCTGAAAAAATTTTTAAATTGATAAAAAAATATAAATACACAAAAAAACTGACAAAAACACCAATTTTACAAAAAAAAAACATTTAGTTCTATAGAAATGTAACAAGTTTAAACATATTATTTAAATTAAACAACTTTGATGCAAATTAAATTTTAAAATGTCTCTTCTTGACGTAGATGCTTCTATCTCGTCATGAACTGGGAAAACCTCTCCAACAACCTGGCTAAAATGAAAGGTGGAAACATCCGGAACTTCTGGAAATCCATAAATATATCCTGACGAGTGTTTGGTGGGGCGACTTCTTAAGAAAGTGGCTTCAATGTCATTTTCTGTAATATTAATGACTTGTCCGATAAAATATTTATTTCTTTGTCTATTTCGATATTTTGTTGGAAAACACACCAGAAGCCAAGTTCCTTTATCTATTAAATCAAGCGAAATAGGAGAAACACATCTAAACAATTTACCCTCAAAGCAGACTGATGCTGATGAATTATTTGTATCCAACTTATTCTCGGACTTATCGGTGAAACTTGGTAGTGAAGTGTCCATTTCTGAGTCTGCATCTGAAGAATGATCTTGATCTTTTTCCATGTCAGAGTCTTCACTTGAAGAATGATCTTGAGCTTTTGCCATTATTGGCATGAAATTAATAAGGGGCAAATTCATTTCCGGGTCTGAATCTTCATCTAAGGTTTCCATACTTCTTTCCAAATCAGTATCCTCTTGATCGTCTTTATCCAACGTGCTTTCAAAATCTGTACTTGTAACGCTTTTGCCAGCAGGAACTTGAATTTTACGACGTCGACTCTTCACATTTTGACCATCGCCATATCTCATTGTTCTTAGAAGGTTTACCAAAGAGTTATTAAGTCCTTCTTCAATGTTCTGATTCTCATCATTTGTCTCGTCAAGATTTTGCTGCGGAAGGCGTCCCAAGACTTGATCCCTATTTAGTGGAAAAATTCCACACTTTCTAAAGCCAGATTGTATATTTTTTCCAGCATTAGGCTCAATAGCCTTTGACAAGTCATTTAGCAAGAAAGGGAATCTGTCCTTTGGAACCGTGCAATGCTTTGAACCAGCCCCCATTTTCCATTTTTCAAGGATCTGTCGCCAGGCTGTTTTAAGAGGCCGGAAAAATGCCACGTCCAGAGGCTGGGTCAGATGAGTAGAGTTAGCCGGGAGGAATATAAGTGAAATATTATTTTCTTCGCAAAGAGATACCGTACTTGCAGAAAAATGTGAACTCAGATTATCGCCAATTAAGTACTTCTTTCCCGGTAGATTTTTTACTGCAGGTATGACAGTGCTCTCTACCCAATCTGAGAAGGAAATCGCATCAAACCAACCTGATGGACTTCTATTAAATCTGACGTCCTTTGGTCCTCCAACTGTCCAAGATGTATACAAATTTTTAGCTTTGTAAACCACGTATGGTGGGAAAAATTTTCCATCAGCTGAAGCAGCGTACATAATAGAAACGGCTGACTTCGACGTATTGCAAATACGTTCTGGATAGCGACAGCCCCTTTTCGAGATTACTTTCTTTCTACCCGGATCGTCAGTTAAATTTGTTTCGTCGTAATTTACTATGTTTGATGGCGGTACATTTTTCAACTCCGTGGTTAAATTGTCAAAATAAGCATTGATAGTATTGGGAGAAACAGCAGCTCTTGAGCGCTTGATGTTTTGGCAGATTCTAGATCTTAATTCATTTTTGTGACGTTTTAAAAAAGAATAGACAAAGTCTCTGCCAGGGATATTATCTTTAAATCTCGTTATTGTTTTACCTCTACTGTCTAGGTAATTTTTTATCATCATCCTGACGTCCAAATGGTCAAGTGGATACCCCCAATCGGAACAAACTATTAGTTGATGGACTAAAATATCTTCTTCTTGTTTGGTTAGGGCTGTTTGTCCTCCATGAAGCTTCAGATTTCGGTTTTTGTGGTGCCGATAAAGCACAGAATAATGAATGTTGTATGTTTCGTGAGCCACTCTATAACTCATCCCGTTGTCAATTGAAGCAAGGGCTATTTTTAGAGTTTTTTCATCAATTTTCTTATATGTTTTACCTCGAGGGTCTGGTTTATAAACGCGAGGCATTTTCCTGCAAAAGAAAAAACAGTTGTGGGGTGGATAGAAACAGCGGGTGAATAGAAACAGCGTGTTTCTATTCACCCCAAAATTACTTAAAAGTGTGGTTATGTATTATATTACATCATAGCAAAAAAAATAAGCAAGACAAGCAATTTCTGAAATAGGCAATGTGAACCAGACACCTTAAAGCTACTTTAACCAAAAACTCAATGTCTTACCTGTTTTTAGCTAACCACTGTGAATAAAGTTTTGCTAGTGATGAAAAAGGCTCATGTGTTCACTCCGACGGGTGGTTGCTACTGCAATCAGGGCTGCCAGCATAAAACATCTTTGGCCTGTTAAAGCAGTTATGGCGACATCTGTTGACCGTTTGAGAACAAATTTGAAGCGTTGGGAGGTTTAATTCCAATGTTGATTTTTTTTAAAAGAAGTTTCCCGTTTTTGTTGCTATTCACCCAGCAGTTTCTATTCACCCCATTTCACGGTACATCCGAGTTTGCAGCTTGACATCCTCCAAGAGCAAAGGCAAATGCTCGATAAAGAAATTCAAGTATTCTGTGCTTAATCTGCTGTCGAAAAAGAAAGGCCCGATAACTTGTCTGCCAATAGCTCCTCCCCAAACCTTCAAGCTCCATTTATTTTGGAAATCTATTTGCCTAACCCAGTAAGGGTTTTCCGTAGCATAATAGTGCATGTTATTCCTGTTGTCAACACCTATGCTGGTAAAAGTTGCCTCATCGCTAAAAAGAACCTTATCCAGGAAAGTAGAGTCTTCACTCGATTCACTCCATTCGAGCTGCGAAATCCTGAGGCCGAAGGCCTTGATGCAAGCATAGGTGATATGGATGGTACCTATGCTTGTGAATAATCGTTTGGACAGAAGTTCCGCATATATCAGTTTTTGCTCCAATTTTCCGTGCACTTAAATGGGGATTTTCCTACAACTTTAATAGAACCTCCAACTGATTCGCCTCATTGGTGACACTTTGATTAATTATACATTTTTTACTATATTCCACTGCTCCACTTGATTCAGAGCATCTCGTTGTGTGGAAAATGTTTCCGGCCTTGGATGTCGCATATTAGGGTACCGTTGCTTATAAATGCGAGATGCTAGGAAACTCTTTCTTTGAGCTTCGCCCAACACGAACACCATATTTAACATTTCTTCTTTAGAAAAATTCATTTTCAAACATGTTTTTGTTACAATGCTCACAAAGCTAATTTTGACAGTTTGTAACTAATCAAAAATTCATTTGTTTCCAAGGATGATGCGATATTTTAGGGAATTAAGCCGTTCCATAAAAGATGGGCTAATAACCGAAAAAATAGCCGTAAAAACCCTTACATGTCTAGTATCAACAAATGCTTATAAAAAATGGAACATTGATATGTAGGTCGAAATTGGGACACCCTGTATAATGACCGATATTTTATAAATGTGCCCCCAAATGTCGTGTATAACATCCCATGAATAAATTTTCCCAAAAAATATTTGTTTATGAGTAATATTCCGTCCACACATGGACGGGCCACCCTGTATAATAATAAAAACACTCAAAATTCATTTTTGATGCTTCTGAGGATCCTGATAATTTTTGAAGAAAAGTTTAGTGGTAACAAATTTGGGGTGTATGTTGTAGGGGTGGGGATGGTGAAAATAATCCTTTGTGAACCGATAACGGCGTTGCGTGGGAAGTACAGAGTCAACCAACTTGACCCTTTGATTTTGTGGCCCTGTAATAATTCATTCATTTTTATATAGTTTCTTTTATATAGTTTACCATATAATAAAGGTGAATACGTTTCTCCTTATGCATTTTTATTACTTTTACTATTGTCACCTTATATTTGGGTGTTCTTATTACTTTTACTATGGTCAGCATAGTAAGATGTATTTTACTCTAGCTTGAGGTTGATTTTAGTTTTGTATCCTTATATAAAATTACTATCTTCCAAGGTGGCGGAATGGCGGGCTGTCAAATTTGAACGGTTTCGTACTTTTTAAATGGAATGTCTCATATTTCAATGTGCAATTTGCAAACCAACAGGATTGATATACTATAGCATTCTGATTACTGGTTGTCTATTCCATTACAGAAAATTTTTCAAGTTGGCATCCTGCTGTCATCTTGAAACCTTTAACTGACATATCCTCGCTAATATGTAGTATTTGTGCATAAACTTCACCAGCCCAAATTTCAGCTTGCCAACTTGTAGAACGGGGGACCTTTTTGAAAAGCACTGTGAGTGTGCATTTTCAAATCGTCCTTTTTTTCCGAATTAGTTATGAGAAATCCATCCAACTCAGAAAGTTATTTCATACGCCAATGAAATTGCGAACGTAGCAGGACAAGAAACACCGCTTAATAATTTGTTTATGCGTGTTCTGGGGACCCTCTGACCGTTTGGATATAGCGAAATTGCAAATTTAAATTGATGTTCCTCCGTCTTGTTGTCAAGCACATAATATGTATATATTTTTAGCAGCCCCCAAAATCATAATACACTGATACGTAGACGCATGTAACGGACCATGTGAAAAGATATAAATCAAATTGATTTGGTTTTATCAACATAAAAAGACAGTTTAATGCTGTGTTTGATAGCTTGAGGAAGTACTGACCGAGTTACTGGTACTGCAGGAGGCTCCTGAGGGTTAGAGTTCATTTCAGTTCAGTTTATTCATCAGGATTCCTACTATACGCATCACTTTGTGGGAAAATTGTCTTTGTAAAGTTTTCCAATAAGGGTGAAACGAAATAAAATAGTTACGGATTAACTACATTTATCTAGGAAGAGATAGGCTACCTGATAGTGGAGCGCTGCGGTGAATAACGATGATCTTTTCAGTTAGTAGTGAAAGAATGGCGTCAAGTAGATTGACTTTATATTTCTTATGCAATTCTGAACAAATTGATTTTGTATATACATCATTTATAGTATCTGAGTCAACTTCCTACGCTCTGGTATCTCTGTTGATTGTTGGCTATGACTATCTTTGTACCCTGGCATAAAGTCGTAGGGTAGAATGAATATCAGTGAAGAAAAACATTAATTTGGCCAAGATTGAAATGATGTAATACGCATACGTCTGAATCAACTTTCTTACGTTGTGGTAGGTTTACTACTTGTCGCCTATGGATTTCTTACAGCTGGTCATGTAATATACTGAATATGATTGGAGAAAAAGTATTTTGAACTTGTTTTTCTAAATAATCGAGGACTACTTTCGTACGCCCTGGTACGAGTATTACTTGCTTGAGGAAAATGTACTAAAACAGATGATATTCCTCATCCCAGAAAATATCTTCATATTCACTGCCGATTGAACATCTTCATGATTTCACACCCGAATAACTACAGCCCTAATGTTGTCACTCTATCTCATTATTTATATTTAATAAATTATATTGCCCCTTAAGTCGCAGTTCCTACATCGTTGAGCTATCGTTGACCTCTTTTTAACAGTTCAGGTAAAACTTTGTCGCGTGAGCGTCCACCCGAGAGCGATCAGCAGCTACTGCACTTCATATTTAAAATATTGCTTTTTGTCTTAACGGCAAATATACGGGGTAATATATCTGTGAAATATGACTAATGAACACGTAGAATAACAGAAACTAGAATATAGTACCCGTGTTCTCTCGATTCAAGGTCATAATTTCAAGAGACACTTCTCTTTATGTTACTAATTTCTGGATTTCATCTTTCCAGTGGCCTCTGGAACGTCCCATTCATAACCAACGCGTACCTAGTCCGCGCCTCCATCATCAAACGGTACGACCGCAGCATCCTGACCTACAACAAACCGGACACCGACCCGGACATGGCCTTCTGCCGCACTTTCAGGGAACTGAACATCTTCTTGTATGTGTCCAACAGGGTGGACTTTGGGCACCTCATCAACGCGGATAACTTCGATGTGACCTTGGCCGAGCCGGAGATGTACCAGATATTCGATAATGAGATGGATTGGGAGGCGAGGTATATCCATGAGGATTATCAGAATAATTTTGCACCTGGAAGGGTTGACAAACAGGTAAGGGTGTTTGAAGGACTAGGGGCAATAAGGTACTTACGTCACATTTGAATAAGAAACCACATTTACATGCAGAAGTACCCGAAGCGTAGGTGTCTATGTCCGAAATAATTTTTTTGAGAATTTGCTCATGTATATCGCTATAATTTCTAAATGGTGTTTTTGAACAACGATGAACTGACATTGGTCCATAGTGAAAACAGTGGACGTTTTAGTTATTTAGAGAAGATGGTTTCGAATTAAGTTCAGGACTGACACTATCCTCCGACTGATAGCTGTTCTGGTAGTGACTCTGAGCGAATAATTCAGGCCAATAAATTTTGTGACTTCACTACCGGTCTACATGTTACGTAAGAAGATTATATTTTATTTATTTTATTATTTCACAATACGACTAGATAATGATTTCAAACCACCTATTTATCAGAATACTCGTACATCATTATTTTATTTAATCTTGTGATGAGTGACTTATGCCGTTTTTGACCAAATTAATTTATGTGTAGATTGTGATCTTCAGTCTTCAGGTACATTCATAGTATTTTCAAAATAGAGAACACATCTGACACAGTCCTAACGGAAAAAGAGAACTTTTACGAATTTGGCTACAAATCTGTCACGAAAAATAAACTTTGACGTAGATAAGGAGTCTGTCAAATCAAATATAACGAAGTATGCTGTTTATTTATTATTTAAATTATTATATGTGCTTATAAAATACTCTTGGAGTACAATTTTTTTTTCAATCCAATATATTTAAAAAAATATATTTTAGGACGCGTCATGTTATTTCGATTCTATTGTCACCCAATCCCTGTTCCTCAAAACATAGACCTATTGTAGCGTTTCAGTCAGATACAGAGTGTTAAGAATATTGCCAGGGAAACTTCAGAGCAGAAGCAGTACGTAAAAATATGACTTTTCGTTATGACCGCTAAGAAAAATAAAACGGTTTCGAAAATGACCGTGAAGTGTCGTGGGACCGATTTTGTGACTTAAAATGTTTCGATTGGGATCTCCCATGGATTCTGGCATCAAATTGAACAAATTCAGAATCTACGAGTCCAATTCGCCAAGGAAAAGAGTGTTGTCCAGATATCAGATGGGCAGGAGTATTTGAAATGTTTGTCATAGAAAGCCTAAAAAAATATAAGGATGTGTACAGCAAAATATCCGTTGTCGCAAGCGAATAAAAATTCGTACACTCATAATCTTGCACGCTGAATCAGAATACGACCAATCGTGAAGATCGTGGAACCGAGATAAAAGTAGAAAATGAGTCACTTACGACCATCCATGAGCCATAGCGTCAAATTGACGTCAAGTTGTAAACCTACGCATCCGGTTTACTGAGGCAACTAAATTATATGCTGCTGCTTTTTGCCAAAATAAATTTCGTTTCCTGAAATCCGTGTCGGTTCTGATTGAAGAGTGTCTCTGAAGTTCTTTGTTATGTTAAGGAAGATGGCAGCGTGATTTATATCTTTAATAGCAAAGAACATTGATTGTTAACAAAGTAATATCGAAAAGGATGCCTATGAGCAAATAAAACTTTCGGAAAACTAAAAATATGCCTAGACAATGACCAGCATTCAGCATATGATTTGCAGTTGCATTTAAAGTCGACATGCAATAAAGCTTAGGATTGTGCAAGTGTTCCTTGCAGAGCCATACAATTTTTGCGAATTTATTATACCCTGTAACTCGCATGCCAATGTACTAAAATTTTCCATTAATGTAGCTTTGGTTGAAATTGCATAGACAAATCGACATGGAATTAGTTTACATGAGAATAAAGTTTTAAGAAAAACGGAAAATGCAGTTAAAAATAGGTCAACCTCCAGTAGATGGGTACCAAGACACCATTAAAGTGGATATTACCTTTTTTATACCAGAGAGCCCGCGTAGACAGAAACATATACAAGGTGCATGTTGTCATTGTGACTTGTTCTCCTCTACAAGATGGCGTAGTCAAATTTTCTATTCGACATTTCGTCTGACTTCGATCACCAACTTTGTTTTTTCATTTGGACTCTATATTGGAATTTTGTATTTGTACATTTAAATGAACCCTTAAGTCATAAATTCGTTACTTTAGGTATTTCCTTAGTGGGCCATGGATTTGTTGTTTGATAAAAATTATAAGAAAATAAGAAGTATGGTGGAACCTAAAGACAAAATGATAATTTTATTGATGGTAATAACCATAATAACAATAAATAAGCAGAGGTAAATCACAGCAGGTAGTTAGAATGACATCCATTATTTTGCAAGCAAAGTCTGACTCTTCTACTCGTATGCACATTGTTAACTCGTCGATTCATTTATCTTCCTCTCATCCATCCAAACTCTGTTGCTATGTTCAGTTTGAGGCTTGGTCTGGTATACGATCCAAAGGAAATCTGATAATTTCACGGCATACCTAGGAAATTCTGTTTTTCTGGAATAACAGGTTTAAGAATGTATGAAATAAAAAATTCTATTTACCTCCAATCCAATCCGATATGGCGTCCATAAGAAACGTCATAATGAAATTCTAATTATGCGATCCTGTAAGGAGAAAAAGTGGCATTGTTAATATGCAATTTATTTTGGAACCATATCTAAAATCGGGAAAAAACTAAACTGATTTTGGGTTATATTCTGGTATGCCAAACAAATAACTATCTGATAATTTCAAGGTCTACCAGGTAAATTTTGCTTTTTTTGGAGTAACTAAGGTTTGGAAATGACAATGTATGTCGTATTATTTTTGGAATCAGAATTAAAAACTATTAATATGTGCAAAAATCCAATATGGCGTCTACAAGGAAAAATAAAAGTGATGCTGGAGCAAAAGCGGCAAAGTTGATGTGCAATTTATTTTGAAGTTTCAAAACAAATATTATCATAAAAAAATTAAAGCGATTTTGGAAAAATCTGATTTTTCCATCTTCGGAAATACTCCGAATTTCGAAACCTTTTAAGCGGCATTTTGTCGATTAAGTAAATCGCAACTTTGCCCCCATATAAGCAACTTCCTTACAGTCTACGACATCCCAATGGTGAGGGTCCAATTTGAAACACCCTGTCTGGTTAGTGTAACTGGAAAAAGCCCCTCAGGTAGATTGTTCCACAATCTCGACATCCTAGGAATAAGCACACCACTGTGGCCGGTAGATGCCGCCGATTCTTGTCATGGAAGATTGCGGTCTACTCGCCATCAAACAAACAAGTAATGTAGCTTTCCTTCGTGTGGCCGCAGAGGGCCTCTCGTTCGTTGTCCTACCTGAGACCAAATCAGACTATACTTAGGAATTGCTAAATAGCATACGAGGGATGTCTTTTAAGTTTTGCTTATGGAAATAAAACAACACGGTAGGTAAGCTTTAAATGACTTTATTGTTTTTCGAAGTATTCTTCACGAAGATTAATACACATCTGCATGCGCTCGAATCAATTTTCGAAGCACTTATTCCACTCGTTTGCTGGCAGATCCAAAACGGCTTTTTTGAATACGTCAACTGCTTCTTCTGGTGACTGGAACCTTTGACCATGCAGTCTGCTTTTAATTTTCGGGAAAGTAAAGAAATCGTTAGGACTTAGATCGGGACTATGTGGAGGATGGTCCAATAATTCCACGTTTTCTTCCGTTAAATACGGCCTTGGTTTTGAACTGTGTGCGAGCTTGCATTGTCTTGGTGGAGGATGATTTTTCTTTCGTGGTTGATTTTTCGAAGCTCGGTGATGACTTTTTGCAAACAAATGGTGGTACACCAATCCGCAGTAACAGTTCTTTGCTCGTTAGGAGGAATTGTTGCAATATGACCCGCTTTTGACACAAATGTCACGACCATCTTTTTCGAAACACTTCGAGAACGGATGACTTTTGTTGGATTTTCTTCACCTTTGAAAACCCAAACAGCCCACTGTCGTTTATTTTCTGGTTCATAACAGTAAATCCACGATTCATCACCACTAAGAATGCTGAACACATTTTTTGAGTTTCCGGAATTGAAACGATTAAACGTTTTTTCACACCAATTAACCCTGGCTGCTTTCTGCTCTTCAGTCTACAGGTGGGGTATCCAACGAGAAACTAATTTTCTTACTCCTAATCCTTCATGTAAATTTTTTTGAATTGAGGTCTTTGAGATCTTCAAGGACGCCTCAATCTCACGATATGTCACATGTCTATCTTCAATGATGAGTTTGCGCACGGCATCGACGTTTTCCTGGGTGACTGTCGTTTTTGGTGCACCCACCCTGGAATCGTCGCTAAGACTCACCCGCCCACGTTTGAATTCTCCATACGAACGGGAAATTGTCGACTGATGTGGCGCTTCGTTGCTGAAAACAGACAGTAACTCAGCAAGGCATTCTGGTTGTGATAATTGTCTCTGAAAGTTGTAATCAATTATGGCGCGAAAATGTTCTCGGTTGAGTTCCATTTTTCTAATGACTTGGTGACACTTAAAAATTCACTGCAGTGAGAACACTGCAAGTATTGTTGTGAAACTTTGAATTTAAGTTTACTAAAGAGTGAGGTTAAGATTCAGTACTGACGTTCGATCCGCGCGGCCTATTATGTTTCTATATGCAAAACTTAAAAGACATCCCTTGTAGCATATCTGTCCATGGTTGATTGTCTGTGGTCGGACGTGCAAAAGCTAAATTACATCTATATTTTTATGTAAACAGTAATATTTTTAAAACTTTTAAATATAGTATTGGACTAAATGTTTATCCAACACTTTTCCAGCCGTGTCCCGACGTCTACTGGTTCCCTATCGTATCACTCCGATTCTGCAACTCCCTAATAAGCATGATGGAGAGCTACGGCAAATGGTCCGCCGGCACGAGCTACGATGAGCGATTGGAGGGTGGATACGAAGCAGTACCAACTAGGGACATTCACATGAATCAAGTAGGCTGGGAGCCACACTGGTTGAAGTTCCTGCAGAAGTACGTCAGGCCATTGCAGGAAAAAGTTTTCTTAGGTGAGGAGGGACAGGCAAAGACATATATAGATACGTGGTGTGGGGTAGATATAGGGTAAACGTGCCTATCGCTGGCACTTTTTCTCTTATTGGCACTTTTTACTACTTTGCTAAGTAATACGATATTAGCAGAACAATTCACTTTCAGTTTTCCTTCGCGTACATATAACATTATCGTGTAAACCTCTCGAGTAGCAATTTTGGAGTTTTGTGGTTCAGTGGAGTTGTGAACAACGATTGGATAGGTCTGCTTTACGATGAAGAATCTCGAGGTAAGAGCTTAGCAATTTCTTGAGAAACACTGACACACTAATTTTGAAATTAGGACTAGTACTAAATAATTGTAATAAAATGTTAATACTACTCAAGAAACAAATAAGCATCCACTATTTCTAAGTTTTACAGTTACTTTGATAAATATTTTTTGTAAAAAAACTACGTGTCAATTACTGGTATGTAAATATGTATGTACAATAAAACATTTATTGGAACCTCTGTGCCAGCAAATGGTATCCAAAAAAAATGGAGATTCGTAATATTGGCAATTTCAAGCTATTATTTGTATTGCCATTAAAATCGACAGAGATAAAGAAAGGTATACTAACTGGTTAAAATAATAAACTGGCCCATAGATGGTGTAGAAGATTCATATTAGATAAAGTGTTGCCTCGAATCTACCAGACCTTACGTCAACAAAAATGGCAATGGAGATATTTTCACGTAATCTTTTTTGGTCCAATCATAATCCACTACTCAGCAGGAATGTCCATCATTTTTTATGGCAGTAGTACTATTTTAAAGGAAGTTGAGGCAAATGAATAAAACATTACCCCAGAAACTGTGCAAAAACCATCTGGTATTGACAAGTTTCTACCACAAGCTCATACTTCTAAACATAAGGGTAAAACAGGTATAAAAACGAACTCCTTCTTCATTCAAGAGAGCAATAGAGAAGAAAAAAGAATTCAAGGACAACAAGAAATTGAAGAAGAAAGTAGATAACAGAAGAGAACGAGAAAAACGAATATTCGTCAAAAGAATAGTATATGCAGGACAATCAAGTTGAAGGACAAATAAGTGGCTGTTGCACAAAAGCAATGCTTCCTAAAAATTTAGCAGACAAGAAAATGCTGCTAAAGGAGTGTTTTCTAGTAAGCGAAGCAGATGACATTTAGAATGAAGATGTTGGAATTCAAAAGGAATACAAATAAACATACACTAGACTTTACCATGCATTTTGCGTTAATGAATAAAAATGGACTTAGTTTAGTTTACATGTGAAAAACGCGTTGTGAAATTGCGGTGAATAATAAAGTCTTATATGGGAGCTAGCATTTCTTAAATGTCCATCTTTTGTGAAAAAAATATTGCTTTATTAGTGTTTTTTGTGATACTTGATGTATTTGATATTTAACCAATAAACAAGTGTTTGGTATATACGAGTATTTACTGAAAACCCGAGTTTTACAAACGTGCATTTCTCAACAATTTCACCTTTCGACTTCTCACTTGCTTTCATTATGTTCTTGGTCCATTGTTACTATCAGTACAAAAAGTTATAGTTTCAAATCAAAATGTCCTATTTTTGAATATCTTATTCCCAACTAAACTTTTAAAATTTGCTGATTTTTGTAATCTGAACTTCTAAGATATGGCTCATTCAAGGGTTCAAACCAGACCTCAACGCTCAGAATAGTTGGCCAATAATAACTGGCATGTTGGGTGTGCCAATAACTGGCAGATGGTGACAATGCCTGAGTTTTTAACATTTTTTTTTACTTTTACACAATTTTTATCAAAACATAAACTGGAAACACAACTTCATAGCCTTGATCAATGATTCCGCATGTTATTTATTTTTAAACAGTGAAACAGAGTTTTTAAAGTGCCAATAACCGGGTAGTTTACCCTATCTAGAAACATGTAGATGAATGTAGAAATATTCACGAACCCAGTTTGTTGGGAAACACATTTGCTGGAGTTGCTTCAGAAGTACGTCAGGCCGCTTCAGGCGGAAGTTTGCTCAGGTGGAAAGGGTGAGGCATAGTTATACACACTTACTCGGTGCGGGAGTTGATGTATGTAGATATAGGTAGATAAATGCTTCTACTTGAGCCAAGTAGGTTATGTGACACTTTGGATGGAGTTACGCCAACCGCTTTAGGAGAAAGTTTGCTTAGGTGAGGAGGAATTGAATATTGGCATACTGTTTGGTGTCGGGAAGGAATGTACAAACCAGGTTGCACCGCTCCCGCTACAAATATTGTGATTCTACAGAAGGTCGGATTCCAACTATGACAAAAAAAAACTATGACAAATTGGGTATCGGTCATTTGATGCGGTGCTGGTGAATCAGACAGCTGCTTTTACGTTACGTGTGGTCACCTGGTTTTTACGTGCTTGGTGAGAGATGGAAATTATTTTGTGACTACGTTTTTATTATATAGGGTGTTTTAAAATTGCTTCTCGCCATTGAGATCTCAGATACAGTCACAAAGACACGGATAAGTTGGTTAAATGGAGGTGTAGTTGCGTATTTAGAACATATAGATTTTTTCCTACGCCCAGTTTATAAAAACTGAAGGAATGTTTGGCTGATGTTATGAAACAAATGACTATCTGATGACTTCAAGGCCTACTTGGAAAATGTCTCTTAGTAACGTTAGGCAGTACAAAAATCGTATTCACAAAATTTCTTTGGGATCAACATAGCAGCCGAGGTGTTCCGGCATTTAGGCTCTTGCCTGCGTGGCTCTTTCGATATATAAAAAAAATTACAAAGCATGCATGTATGACATAGGAAACAGTTTTGAAATTAGTATTCACCTATGCAAAAATCCAATATGGCCTCCATAAGAAAAAATAAAGTTGATGATTTGAGACAAAAGATGAAAGTCAAATTGAAATTCCGTGTGTGTTTTAATGCGCATTTAATTTGAAACTTCCCCTTAAATAAAGTCAGCTTTGAAACCATTATATCTCATAACGTTTTCTAGATCCTAATGACGAGAGGCGAAGCTAAAACACCCGGTATATGATCGTTTGATACCCAGGCTACTATGCTTAATGCAATAGAAATGCGATTTTGCACGAGCATTCATTCATCGCTCGAAAAAAATGTTAACATATTCATTTTTTAAACCCCGATAACAAAAGGTGTGACATGCTTGATATGTATATCTATATACCTATCTGATTTCCTTTTATTTTTGTTTACAAGGTTACTTGAAATGGTTTGAGCTTTTTTAATGAAAGCACGTGTTCACGAATTTATTTATTACCACTTTCATCACTAATTTCTAACAACGCTACATTACTAATTTGTAACTGAGTTGCGCCGCGCTTGCATCGACTGACCTTCGCTGACTGACTCACGACTGACTGACTCACGACTGACTGATTTATGACCACTGACCCCCATCTTTATGGGGACGCTGCATAGATATACGACTGATGATGCTAATTGGTCAAATAAACAATTTGAGGTAAGAAAAATTTTTGAATTTCAAGTATACGCTTTTCTTTTCTTTCTAAACCAAATCGTATAATGCTTCGTGAAGGGCCCTAAAAGTTGAATAGCTATGAGATGACATACAAGTTTATATGATAGTCCAGTACTTTTTACAATCCAAATCTGTATAAATTTGAATGCTTGCCAATTTATTGCTCTTCCAGCAGGCCGCCGTTTTTATACATATTAATATATGCTCGTGTTACAAGGTTATATCCATAATCCTCCAAGAGGTAGACCGAACTTCGTGGTAAGATACAGGCCAGATGAACAAGCATTCTTGAAGCCGCATCATGACACTTCTACCTATACGATTAACATAGCACTGAACCAGGTAAGCCAAAATTCAGTCCAACATCTAAATAAAAAAGATGCTAAAAAAATAAAAACGATGCTGTTTTTCCGGAAGTCTATGCATTTCTCAGTATCCTTCAATTTGTCTTTTGTTCAGGTTGGTGTTGATTACGAGGGAGGAGGTGTCAGATTCATCCGACAAAACTGCAGCGTTCTTGACACTGTGCCAGGCTGGATGCTGATGCATCCTGGAAGACTAACACATTGGCATGAAGGGCTGTATGTCACAAAAGGAACAAGATACATCATGGTTACTTTTGTTGATCCATAAGCAGCCTTGTGAAGTTGTGATTTTTTAAGATCTGAAACACGTAACCATCGAACTGAGGCTATAATGTTCAAATGACGTATACTATTACTACCGTCTCTCAATGATGTATCTGTATTTCGTCCAGTACTATTATTTTACGTTAAGTAAAGGCAGAGCTTTAAATTATCTGACTGACAATAAGTATAAAACTTTAGGTGGTATGATTTCAATGAACAGGAGACTCCAAAAGGAGGTAGGTCCATTGAAGACCAGTGGCAATTGGTGAGACTGGGTCATGAGTTATTGTCAGAAATGGCGGGAGCGTGATCATATTATTAAAAATGGTGAAAGATCATATATTATGTTTCTAAATGAGTTGTACGAACTTGTCACTCACTACGAATAAGATCAGATTGATTTCTGGCTCAGACGAATTTTTGGCGGCACAAGCTTCTACTAAAATCTTTCGCAATTAAAAAGCTGCATTTTTAATGAACAAAAAGTTTCCGCTCTTTATGCAATATCAGCAATGCTGCGATTCGCATTATTCGTCATTGTTTGTCTAAGCGGACAGGTAGACCTTTGATCTTGGTTAAAAGCCTCGTCGGTCTGGTTACCCAGATTCTAGACAAATTCAAGGGGTAAAGGGAAAGTAAGAAATATAGCAACGATAAGAAATAAATCAGTCGAAGAGGAAAAAGCTTTAGTATTATTAATTTGACTGATCGAATAATTTTGTCATTCTAAAACAATTTTGATCGGTTTTGTAAATAATTAATTTTAGTTAATCAGAAATTTAAAATTTAATTTTGATCGGAGCGCGAGGCATGTTCTGGAGTATTTGCGAACTTGCTGAACCGTGGGGTCTACCGAGTCGGGCAACATAGGATTGCTGTTCGATTCCGTTTGATTAGCCAATTGCATTCTAATTTAGTGATTCTTTAGAACACTATTTACTACTGGCTCACCAAAAAACTTCATTTAAGCTTCTTATGTGTTATAGTATTTAACATTTTGTGTCTGTAAATGAACAAATAACTTTCTATGCATAAGTGATCTACTAGTACTTATTGAAAAAGTATGAGAGATATTACCGCTAAGTCAAGACTGACTGTTATATAGGGTGTCCCGTGAGGTAAGGGACAACATTTTTCTACGTGTTCCTCAGGTCAATTCGAGTTGAAAAAGTCCAATGAACATGGGTCCGCAAATACTTCCTTATCGAGATAATGATTTTTTTGTTTTTAGGGTGCTAATGTGGGAAAACCACAATATTGTTGGAAAATTACTTTTAACACAAAATTACTAGGTACAATGAAAACAACTATTCACAATAGTTGTTCAAAGTGTCCACCTTCACATTGTATACATACTCTAGGCGGATTAATAATGTGACTGGTGGCTTTTCCAGTAACAAGACGATTAATACGTATGTCGTCAGCGACATCAGTAATTTTACTGAGCAGTGCAGGCCTGGTATGCGATTTCTCTGCATACATTAAATACTTCATATGTCCCCACAAGTAATAATCCAAGGAATTCAACTCGGGCGAGCGGGGTGACCAAGAAACTGCGCCCCCTCGTCCAATCCAATGCCCAGGAAAATGTTATTTAAATACTTTTTGCAAAGTTCAACCAAACTGACACAACTACTCCGTCAACAAACAAACACAAGCGTATTAATCGTACATAGTGAATGTGGACTTTAATTCTTGTAAACAGTTGTTTTCATACGAACAGTATTAAAGCTTTTGTTAAATAAAAGCAGTTTTCCAACAATATTGTGGTTTTCGCCCACTAAAAATAAAAAAATCATATCTCGATAAGGAATCATTTGCGAACCCTTGTCCATACAACCTTTTCGACTCGAATTGACCTCAGGAACACGCAGAAACATTTTGTCCCTTACCTCGCGGGACACTCTGTATATAACGATACTATTGTGTCAAAAATCTAGGATGTAAGTTGTATGGATTTAAAGTTAATGCTTCAAGTTTCAATTTTTAACTTTTAAGCAAAGTATTTATAGAACCTTATATGTAATGTTGTGGAGTAATAAAGCTTTATTATGTTATATGAAATCTACGGTTTAATTTTTTCTGATCAAGCATCCTACGCGCGCTTGCAAATTGAAAAAAAATCATATTGAATGCAACGTAATTTTCATAAGCACTGCGACCAGTATGCATAAGTGTTCAGTCAAAAATGTGCCACGGACGCATTTTCGTTATTTTTTATGATTTAATTGTAATTGCCAATAAACGCTCATTAATTCAATCTGTCCATTAGTCCAAAACATCTTCTACTGTTGTGATGACAATAAACCTTGGTGTATTAAACTACATCTGTATCCATATTTCCCGGTCGCTTCGTTTATTGTTACCAACAATCGTCCGGTATATTAATCTAAAAATACGGTATTTAGAGCTGAAGATCTGAAAGTTTTGCTACTGGTAATCACCAAAAGTAAGACAGATTATTTTAGGTGCTAAAAATAGCTGCTTCATAGGGTCGGTGGTTTTTTAATAGTCCTTATTAAGCATCTAAGAAAGTAGAAGTTTAATTGTTCCAAGACACGGTACTGTACTTCTACTAAGAAAATCCACTCGAATGCATATACGGTCTTGATGGGTTCTGATCTCAGAGATTAGTCCAAATAATTTGGATAGCGATTTTTGAAAGACTTGGCGCACAGCAGCGTAAAGCTTTCCTGGTAGTTTTGGCTATAATTGCAACACAAGAACTCCATTAAGACACTATTTACTGTCATGGCCCCATGTAAGTAGTCTGAAAGTTTGAATGTATTCCATGCTTAGTCTTCCAGCAGATAGCCGACGGTTTTAAAAAATGTTAATTTATGGTTGTGTTACAAGGTTATATCCATAATCCGCCAAGAGCTCTGATGAACTTCGTGGTAAAATACAGGCCGGATGAACAACCATTCTTGAAGCCACATCATGACACTTCTACGTATACGATCAACATAGCACTGAACCAGGTAAATCATAATTCGATAAGCTCAATCCAGTCCATATACAATAAAACTTCGAAAATACTTACTTTTTGTTGATATTCTATGGAGTAAAAATTCTCGCATTTTACATTATTGTTCAATTTGTCTATTGTTTAGGTTGGTGTTGATTACGAAGGAGGAGGTTGCAGATTCATCCGATACAACTGCAGCGTTGTTGACACTGTCCCAGGCTGGATTTTGATGCATCCTGGAAAACTAACTCACTGGCACGAAGGACTATATGTTACAAAAGGAACTAGATACATAATGGTTGCCTTTGTTGACCCATAAACAAAGATCTTAAGCTGTGATTTTATAAATATTTGAAACACATATCCATATCGTGCCAACTACGGGTATAGTGTTACATATTACGTATATTGTTACAACGTCCTCTCAATAATGTGTTTGTATTTCATCCAGTATTATATTCCTTTATCAATAGCACTAAAATGAGCTGTAAGTTTCGCTAGAACGGTGACATTAAGCAAATATGACTTGGCAGCTATGTATAGTTCAAGCGCGGCTTTCAAGTATCGGGCCAACAATAAGTATAACACATTAGATGGTATGATTTATATTAACATGTTAGTCCAAATGGAGACTTGTTGATGCCCAGTACCGATCATGAATTTTCTATAGTCAAAAATGGCGGGAATAATCCATAATTAGGTAGGTGCATAGATTCTATAACGTAGTCACAATATTGTATTATATATGAAACGCCGGTAAAAAGCCAAAGATAATCATTGAGAACAAGTCTAAACTAAGTTGACAGTCTTAAACTTACAACTTGACTCAAGCTGTCCTTCTACTACCTGTAGATTTTCTGAGATGTATAAAGGTATCACTCCCACCAAATCAAATTATCTGACCCCAGTACCTGAGAAAACACATTTTCAAACTGAGTGCATTTTGGCAACACTGGGTACTGTAGGAGCCATACCACCAAACGTATTCTAGTTTTATATTCATTTTCTTCACGCTCTTCACCCAAAACCCAAAATCTGTATTTGATTTCTTATTTGTCTCGGTAGTTGAACTTTTTATGTACAAATGGTCTATTGAAACTAACAAACCGCACAGTGTTCTTTTATGACACAAATCTAGGGTGTAAGTATTATGAATATGATGTTTCGACTTAGATTTTTATCTTTCAGGCAAAATATGTGAAGGCCTTTATAATTATGTAGTGCTGTAAAATAATAAAGCTTTATTATATGTAAATCTACTGTTTCGTTCTTCCTGGTCAAGAATCCTACGTATGCTGTGAAATTACTAAAAAAGCACATCAAACGCATAAGTAATTTTGATAAACATGCATAAGTTTTCAGCTGAAAATGTGCCAAGGACACTTTTTGGTTGCTTGTTATTTTTTATGATATAATTGTAATTCTCAATAAAGATTCATTAATTCTTCCTGTCCTTTTATTTTTATGAAGACATTAAGTCTTAATAATAAGTATCCTCTACCCAGGATAGGTATAACGTCTATCGAAATAAGATACCAGAATGGACCACTGCGACAGTGAAAAGAGCAAGGTGTCTTTTGCAACTGTATCTCAGCTTGCATTTGACAACCGTTGTGGTCGCTAGTTGCCGTCGATTCTGGCGATACAGTAGAGGCGATCTACTCGCCATTGAGCACAGACGGGAAACCATGGACATCCGCTTCGTGCTATTTGGTAACTCGTCTAGTGGCCACAGTGGTGACCCGCAATCGTATTACGTAACATAAAAAGTGACATTATATCGATTTTTTATGAAGGTGTGTAGGCTTCTATTCGCCATTGTCTGCCAGAGCGGCCGGAAGGACCTTTGCTCTTGGTTAAAGTCTTGTAAGTCAGTAAGTCTGTTAGGTCTGGTTGCCCAGATGCCAGACAAAGTCGGGGAGAAGGAAGGGAAGAAGAAAGAAAGGAAGGAGGGAGAGCAAAGAAAAAAGTGCGTCAATTTGAGGAGTGCCTTGTCATTGCTAATTAGTACTCGGCAATTTTAAATTGATCCTAAAACTAATTAAGAGATTGGTTGTTGAAGAAAAATTATAATTTTGGTTGGACCTAAAGTGGCACGATTTAATTTTGTTCACAGTGCGAGTCGCGGCCTTGTATGCTTGCGAGCCTGCTCGACTGTGTAGTCTACTGACTCGCGCAACAAAGGGTTGATATGCAGTTCCGCTTGACTATAACATGGCTGCGCTTGTTCTTTGATGTAGTCTCTTAGGTAAAGGATGTTAAGATCTCTGTGAAACGATGTGTAGGCTTTTTTTGACGTTATGTAAGTTTTCCTACAAGACTTTAACATGAAAGTTCACTTCATGCCCACTTGCAGCAAGCGTGGAATGAACTAGTGGCACACTAGCCTACCTAGCGCATGAGTTGATGGTTTTTTATATTATGACATTCTACCGATTGCTTTGGCATTATATACAACAAATTGCTCTTTTCATTTTCGGATTGGCCGATTCTTATAGTAGATTAGACTTTGTGTGTGGTTATAAGACAAATCAACACATCTGTTGATAGAAATGTGACGATAAGACACACGTTACTGTCACGGCATCATCTAAACACGGGATAGTTGCAGTCACCGTTTTGGCGGGTCAAAGTAAGACTACCAGTATCCGTTTATATATCTCCATCTCCCTCATACATATGCATGCAACCTACCCCTGTCTGGGAACGTTTGTTCAGTAAGCTCAAAGACATACGTTTTTTAGTTTTGCTCGAAAACTTTGTATGAGTATTTCCAGAAAGAGAATGAAAACAGCGGTCCCCTGTTACCCACTTCATGCGTACTGGAGAGAGTAGCAAATGCGCTGAAGATTAGTCTACGCCCATGGTACGGAGACTCGATCTGTTATTTCATATGGCGTTGAGGACTTAACCGCCAAAAACGTTGACTACAACTATACTACTCATTGTTCTACTATTTTTATAATGTAAATCTATACAAATGCACACAGCATTCTGCCGATGATTTTTAATAATTTTCACTTACACTTATGTTACCAGGTTATATCCATGATCCTCCAAGAGCTCTCATGAACTTCGTAGTAAGATACAGGCCAGATGAACAACCATTCCTGAAGCCACATCATGACAGTTCCACGTATACGATCAACATAGCACTGAATCAGGTAATTTACACTGCGATAAGGACAATAGTCTAAGTCTAATGATATAAGACGAAAATACCCGTGGTTTACGAAATAATTGTAAAATCTGGTTTTATTGATGCAAGTTGTTCAAGGGGTTATTTAAAACAGACGCATAAAACGGGTACACACATTTTTATGGGAAAACCTTTTGTTTGACAACAAAGAATGGGATAACGTGTTTTTTGGAATTCAATCGAAAGTTTTGGTAGGAACGAAAAAACTCTTCAAATAAGATTTTTACGTATTTATGAGACACTCGTATAAAGATCCCACTAATAATAAAAAAGTTATGCTCGAAAACGGAGGTAAAATGCAAGTTTCACCACTTGTTGCTAATGCGATGATAATTTCATGCAGCTACTTGAAATTCTTCATAACTGAAGGCTTCTTACTTCTAAATAACCACAACAAAATTGGAGTCGATTGGTCAAGTAGTTTTTGAGAATTTCTAATTATTTATCCCAAATCACCTGTCTTCCGGCAATCACTAGTTTATTGAGCTATGTACAGGTTTCATTCACATTTTATAACTTGCAAAGTACACATAATGTAAAAAAACATTTATCTTATTATTAATGTGCTAATTTTTAGGACGGTCAGTTCCCTACAATTGTTTGATATTTGTATACCGTTTTTTCGTTTTCTTGAGTTTACTTTCCAACATTTTGAACTCGCAGTCATTTTAATCGTACGAGATTTCGAAAACAGACGTATACTATATTAACACTTTTAGAAAGAGAAAATTCGGTTACTGATAATTAAATTTTTTAATTCTGGGAAACCAAACTCAGAAATTGCAACTTTGTTAGACTTCTCGCGGTACAGTGTGAGAAATATTGTTAGAAGATATAAGGTAACTGGTTCAGTTAATATTAGGCCACGATATGTGGAAAAAAGTAATATCACAAATGCCGACCGAAGAGCATTAAGAAGAATGATCGTGAAAAACAGGCATGCCAATTATTCAAATTAAGTGCTCTGTGGATTGACGCTGTTGGAAGGAGAATTTCGAAAGAGAGAGAGAGAGAGAGAGAGAGGCCCACAAACTGGGATTTAGCACTTGCAAGGGAAGTTTTCTTATAAAAAAAAGTGAAGTAAAAACCCTAAAGTTGCACAACTTGTTTATAGGCCAAAAAAAGCCACTATTAACTCCACTGCAAAAGAAAAATCGGCTTAGATGGGCTAAAGAACATAGACAATGGACACCTCAACAATGGTGTGCAATACAATGGAGTGATGAGGCCCGATTCGAAGTTTGTGTTGGTGACAGTCGCAGTAGAGTTACTCGCAAAAAAATGAAGCATTCCATGTTGACTGTCTGAAGAGAAAAGCGAAATTTCCAGCATCCATTATGATCTGGGGCAGTATGTCATCAAAAGGAGTAGGAAAACTTCATTTTATTGATGGAAATGTGGATACAAACAAATATTTGGCAATTTTAGAAGAATCGCTTTTACCAGTGATGGAAGAATGTTTGACATCCGGTCAAGATTTTGTGTTTCAGCAAGATGGTGCAACGTGCCATACCTCAAAAAAGGCTATAAAATGGATGGAAGAAAATAATGTACCACTTTTGAAATGGGTTTCTAGCAGTCCAGATCTGTCACCTATTGAAACTTTGTGGCACGAGATGAAAAAGGTTCTACGACAACATTCTGCTGGTACAATCACAGAACTGAGACAAAAGCTTCAAGAAATATGGGATTGTTTTTCACCAAATTTTTGCCAAAACTTGGTTAACACTATGCCCCAAAGAATTTCAGCCGTAATAAAAGATAAAGGTGATGTTACCCAATGGTAATCTTTCAATTGTTGCTTTGTTAACTTCACACATTTATTCGCACATTGTTTATTTGTTCAGATGTTCTATTAGTAATAGGTATAAGTGATTTCAAATATGTATTTTTTACGACTAGAGTGTATCTAAAATGTTTTTGAGAAAATAGATTGTTTTAGAAGTAAATAGTTTCGTCACGTTAGTTTATAAAGGCACAAATCTTGAAGTGGGCCAACTGAAGTGGGAAGGGGCTCGTATATTTCTTCGTAAGGAAACTGGATTACTTATTTGACAAAATCATGCAGTCATCAATAATGCAGCTATCTAGCACATGCTACATACTAACTAGTCTAAGAGAGTTTGAAACATAATTCTGTTCTGCACGGGTATCACGTATCTTGAAAAGTGACATTATGCCGATTTTTTTTTGACATTATGTAGGTTTTTCTGCAAGATGTTAACTTAGCACTTAGCTGCACGTGTTGCCTAGACGTCATGAGGCTTGTTATCAATCTTTGGCTCTGATGTGATGTAAAATATGCTTCTGAGATGGCATTACTGGAGTTCTAAGCTTGTGTTGATGATAAGTACATTGGGTTCTCAAATACATTTAATTGAGATTGAAAGCTAGCAATTAGCTGCACACCCACTTTTTCTTATCCATTCTGGAAATTACATATACAAATTTGCTGAATTTCAAAAATGAGAGAGATAAGAAATAATTAGATTCACTGTATACTGTCGAATTACAAGCCATATACATGCTAACAGTAGTTACACACAACGCGGGCGCAGTGATGATTTCCCGTAATTCCCCTCAGTTTTTCGTAATTTATAACTTTGAACTTAACCTCTCTTCAGAAAGCACAACATAAAAATAACCTGTCGGGTACAGCTAATAGATATACTTCATTGGCAGCATATTCAGTAATTATTTTCTCACCCAGCAAATCATCCAGATGCGATCTTGCTACTCAACCAACTTTCTTCTCAGGGATAAAAAATACAGACGAGGACCATTTGGCCTCACAAAATATATGCAACCAATAGTGCGTGTAGTTTAGTTGTGTGATTTCTCCTTAGATGAACGTTCACAACGATCCTAGTGAGCAAACGTGGAATGTCTGTTTGCGCCCTAAAAACTACCTAGTGTGCAAGATGACATCTTATAGGTTTTTTTTACATTTTATAAGCTTTTTATATGACACCCATGCTGATTTGCATGCTAACTTCATAAACAGTTTATTGCATTTCAGTATGGAATAGTTTTTTTTATAAACTTTATGGCTCAAATACGAAATGTTTGAATTTGTTTAGAACAAAAAAACGTAACCCTTCGTTTTTCGCATAAAAATAACAGTTATGTTTCGGAACGGTTTGTGATTCACGTCGGAAAGGCAAATTCGTGTATTTCACTATAAAATATTATATAATATAATATAATTATAAATTCTCAAAAACTACTTGACCAATCGACTCCAATTTCAATTTCGTTGTGGTTATATAGAGGTATGAGTTCTACGGATTTGAAGAATTTCACGTAGCTACATTATCGTCGCAGTAGCAACAAGTGCCAAAACCTGCATTTTTCCTTGGTCTTCACTTTTTCTAATATGATTTGACTTCAATTGACTACAATGCATTCATTCTTCTGTACACAACAAGACTTTCCCAAAGTTGCAAAAACTTTATCACCCGTCTGCCTCAGGGAAGATATATTTTTTTCGCGGGTGGTTATAAATGTAACAACGAAATGTATTTTACGGGATACATACAGGCCAAACTGCTTCACAGATTTCGGCAAACGAGGTGTTGATCGAGCCTAGTTTGAATGATATGATGATGAATATCAAATTTTATAGAAACAAAATGGTAGATCTTAATAATAATTTTAATAATTCCTATTACATCTTAAATGGCTTACAGAATTGAAATTATGAGGTGTGAATGACACTGGGTATACTAAAGTCGTATGGAAAACAACCGGCAGATTTTAATAAAAAAGTGCCCTTTGAATCCCCATTTTACGGGCTACACCTTTATTATTTATTATTTCTTCTACCAGCGTGCGGAAAGTACTCAATTTCAACACGCGTCTGCGTACAGAATGAAGCACCTTTCCGCACGCAAAACTTTACTGTGTTGTAAGTGGGTACTTTCCGCACTCATTAGGTAAATAACCATTCCGTTACTGCAGTGAGGTTATTTGTATTTTCAAAAATGTACTGGCTTTTTCCTTGAGACGCTAAAGATTAAAAACGATTCTGGTTGTTCTTCCTGAGTCCTATGCATTTTGCATTGTTTTATAATTTGTCTGTGGTTTAGGTTGGTGTTGATTATGAGGGAGGAGGTTGCAAATTCATCCGATACAACTGCAGCGTTGTTGACACTGTGCCAGGCTGGATTCTGATGCATCCTGGAAGACTAACACATTGGCATGAGGGACTATATGTTACAAAAGGAACTAGATATATCATGATTGCCTTTGTTGACCCATAAACAGACGCCTTAACTTGTGACTTTATAGAGATGTGAAACACTTAACCATATCGAGCCAACGGAGGCTATAGCGTTCAAATGACTTTTGCTTCTTTATCTCAATAATGTATCTGTATTCATCCATATTTTTTTTCTTTATCAATAGCTCTAAGCATCGATAGAATAGGTATGTGAGGCAAAGGTAACTTGAGCACTATAGTTGACGCAGAGCTTTAGAATGTTGGACTGACAGTAAGTATAATGCATTGGATGGTCTCATTTCTATTCAAATTGAAACTCATTGATGACCACGGCAGACCGGAAATTTTTTATTGTGCGTCCATAATTGAGGTAAGCCGGTCTCAACGTGTACGAGAGAGAGAAGCGCGCAAGACGTATGCTGGAAATAGTGCATCATACAAGTTTATCACTATCTTGCTCGTACTCTTGCAATGCGGGACCGCCGTGAGGTGTAGAGATCCTATTTAAATCGTCGGTAAGGTAAAGATGAAAATCGCAAAAAGCCGAAGAAAATCTTTGAGAGAATGTCTATGGTTCTCTATTGGAGAATCTCAGGTCCTACGTCTAGCAAAATAAAGATCCTCAGTAATTGAGAAAATGTATCTTCAGTAAACTAAGTGTTTCCTTCTTGTAATATTGGGTGCAATAGCAGCGATACTGCCAACGTATTATAATTTTTTTTAACTACTATCTACTGGCTAACCTAAAAACCGTATTTGAGTTTCTTATGTGTTATGGAATTTAACATTTGTGTTTGTAATTGAACTTTTTATGTATAAATGATCTACTAGTATCGAAAAACTGTAAAAATGTACAGTGTTCTTATACATAACGATACTATTGTGTCACGAATCTAAGATGTAAGTCTGACGGATTTGATGTTAAGGTTTAGACTTTTAACTTTTAAACGAGCAAAGTATTCATAGACTTTTATATGTAATGTTGTAAAATAATAAAGCTTTATTATATAAAATCTACTGTTTTGTTTTGCCTGATCAAGAATCCTACGCACGCTTGAAAATTGCACATTAAATGGTTAGGTAGCTTTGAATGCGCTTCTCAATGCACTAATCTTCCAGCATACAGCCGATGGCCTTTTTAAATTTTAGTTTATGCTTTTACTACCAGGTTATAACCATGATCCTCCTAGAACTTCAGGCGGAAACTTCGTAGTAAGATACAGGCCAGACGACCAACCATTCCTGAAGCCGCATCATGATAGCTCTACGTATACGATCAACATAGCATTGAACCAGGTGAGTTACATTTCGCTAAGGTCAATTCAATCGAATAAATCAATTTCTTGATCTATTATACGGGGTGAGTCACAAGTCGTGACCAAAAATGAAATAAGGTACACGGGACCGAATTTTAAGGGGGTCTTCTATGTAACATTTTGTCCTCGAGGGCTTCAATGAAACGTTAGTTGAAGTTTAAAAATAAAAATCATTTTTTTAATATCTTCAAAACCGTCAACTGGAATAAACTAAAATTTGGTATGTGGATTTAGCTAAGTATTGTCCACATCCAAAAGTCTTGAAACTAACGTGCACCAGTGGCGGAGATACATGGATTATTGGCATTATTTTTCTAAATAAAAATAGTACGCCACTGTTTTCAATTTAATACAAATAATTATTACTTTTGTGTTTTTCCATAAGGTGCACTGTTTTCGTAAAAATAAAAATTAAGCAATTTAGATCATTCTTGAAGAGCCGAGATACAATTACTTTCAAAATAAAATAGGAGGCCTTGATACGAACTTGACGTTTCTTGGGAGATAGTTTGTCAAAGTTATGTGTTATACTGTTGTTATCGTTACTACTACGATTTTTTTTAAAGTCATGTCAAAAGCTTTTTCCATTTTTGGAATGGTATCTATTTTTTTACATATCGAAGCAGCGGCGCAAGCAGAAGCCTAAATGCCGGAACACCGCGACTGCTATGATGATCCCAAAGAAATTTTGTTAATACGATTTTTGAACTGCCTAAGATTAGTAGAACTGGGAAAAGCCTCCTCCTGGAGATTATTCCACAATCTGGACACCCTCGGGACATAGGAGCGGTCGTATCGGCCAGTTCTGGATGTACAAAGTTCGACACGGTTAGGATGGGACGCCAAAGTCAGGCGGGTCTGACTGGCAGGCACATCGCGCTGCGGCATCATGGAAGAGAGCTCTGAGGAGCAAAGCCCGTTGGTGTAGCGGTAGAAAAAAGGTAAATCGCCGACGGCCCGCCAGTGCAAAAGAGTCCCGAGACTGTCTGTTAGAGAAGAGTTATCGATCAGTCGGACGGCCCTCCTCCGGACAGCATCGAGTATGGATAATGTAGTCGGGGCGGCAGCACCCCAAACGTGTGAGCAATACTCGAGGCTAGGCCTTATCTGGGCCTTGTATAGAGTGAGAAGGTCATGCGGAGAAAAGTACTTCCTAGCCTTAAACAAATAGCCTAGCTTTTTCCCAGGAGCTGCAGCTATTGACGAGATGTGTTCGTGCCAGTTCAGGTCCTCGGCGATCTGGACTCCGATCAGCCGAAGTTAATGGCTCTTTGGCAGAACTCGGCCATCCATCGAAACCGGATAAGCGCTAGGACGCTTTTTTTTCGTCAAAGTACAGTACTGTGTTTTGGAAGCATTGAACTGTACAAGATTGTTGCGTCCCCAGGCAGTGATAGCCTCCAGCCAGTTGTCACTCTGAATTTCTGCATGTAGAGTGCTGTCATCAACGAAGCTGTGGATTGGGTTGATCGTGCAGGAAAGGAGGTCGTTGATATGTAAGAGAAACAGTGTCGGAGCCAAGACCCATCCCTGGGGAACACCCGCGTTGACGTTGTGGGATGAAGAGGAGAACCCGTCAATTACGACGGATATCTTGCGGCCAGAGATAAAGTCAGCCACCCATCTGTAAAGCTTTTCTGGGAGGCCATAGGATGGACGTTTGCTTGAGAGGGCGGCGTGCCACAGCTGATCCAACGCTTTCATGAGCCTCACCATAAGACTGGATGAGTTTACTCCACAATTGCGCGACGTAAGCTAGCAGGTCCCCTGTGGATCGTTGGTGCTGGAAACTATACGGCCTGTCGCTAATCAAGCTGTGACGTTCGAGGTAGTCCAGAAGCTCGCGATTTATGCACCTCTCCATCACCTTACTTAAAACAGAAAGCAGAGTTATAGGCCTGTAGTTGTAAGGGTCGGTCTTAGATCCTTTTTTTGGGATGGGTTGGACATGAGCCAATTTCCAGTTTTCTGAGAAGGTGCCCGATTCATAAGATATCTGGAAGAGACGCGAAAGAACTGGAGCAAGCTTCGCTGCACACCTCTTCAGTACAATGGCAGGAATCAAGTCCGGACCAGAAGCTATGTTGATGTCGAGCGACAAGAGCACTCGTCTTACGGTCTTGTGCCTGAATGTTACCTCCCGCATAGTGTAGGGAACCCTTTGAATTGACGGCACTTGGGCGTTGGGGTCCATGTTGGTGTTGGCAGCAAAGATCTTGGCTAGCACTTCCGCCTTGGCCTTTGAGGCTGATGCAATCGTTCCCTCCTGATACGTAAGAGGTGGAAGGCTACTGTGTGCGAAGTTCTTTCCAATCTGCTTGGCCAGCGTCCAGAAAGACCGACTGCCATTGCGTTGCGACATTACCCTGTGGCTACCTTTTATATAGTGCTGGTTTTTGGCATTGCGAACCGACTTGACGTCGGCTTGTCTGTTCTCTACAGTGGGGTTTTGTAAGAAGGCTCTGTGTGCCTTGATCTTCTGCTGGCGAGCAGTGTCACATGATTTGTTAAACCATCCATTGGACCCTGGTTTAGGCACTTTCACTGTGTGAGGGATGTATTCCTCGATTCCTATGTGGATAGTTTCGCTTATCGAAGAACAGACAGCCGACGCATCCGCGTCAGTGAAACAGACATCTCTTCAGGGAAAGCTAGAGAAGAAGTCTCTGAGCCCCTCCCAGTCGGCATGTTCGTAATGCAAAGTTTAGCGGCCTGTACGAGTTTCTGCTGCCACATCCGGTTCTGACCGAAACCTAACCTCCACAACACCGTGGTCTGAGCTAACCAGGGGGGACAGGACAGCAGGGCTGTAAGGGACAGGATGCGTGGTCAAAGAGAGATCCAGCAGGCTACTGGCGTGTGTCGAGACGCGGTAGAAAAAGGTAGGGCTCGTCACCAGCTGGGTCAGCCCTTGAGTAAGAGCGAACGTTTCGACTGTTCGATCTGCTGCATAGGTTTTGTTTGAGCCCAACCAAAGCTCATTTTGGGCATTGAAATCCCCAAGAAGAACTACCTCTGAAGCGGGGTGATTGATGTTCAGGAAGTCGATCTGGACGGCGAGGTATTCGAGTAAGTTAAGATGGTTAATCGGTGCAGACTCTGAGATTTTTGTCTCCGCCAAAAAAGGCACGGCGGGACGATTAGATTGCAGGTAGTGATGAACAGCATCAATGATGCTGTTAATCACGCAGATGTTCGAAAAATTGTATCTTCGATGTTTTTCCCTCGAGCCCATCCTCCACCCGCACATTCCGAGAGTAACGTGAGTTTACGTCCGGAGTTCATAGTGCTCGAGGGATCTATCATCATTAATTTCTTTGTTTTGAAGATAACCAACCGCATAGCTTAGCTGTGGAAACATGCGGACATTTATAAGACACCCTGGGAAAATCTAGCGGGTGGTACCGCCTCGGTCGACTAGTCCTTGTCTACCACCTTCTTTTTACGTGTTAGTAATATTAAATAGACATAAAGTGGCTCGTTGGCGCACTTGTACCACCACCCGGCAATCGATACTGAGGTATTCCTTAACGCGTGTATAATCACTTGAACAGGAAGAAGTTATATACTGGATACAACAACTTCCGGAACAAGCATTTACCACGGCCCCGCTCAGTGTACAGGATCTGTAATGGAAATGTCTTAGCGGCTTCTCGGGGATATCAACGTAGATTTCTTAATGGACGCTTACCTACCCCAAAGGTCTTTACGTGTTCATTTCTAAGGCTTCGGCTATATGGAATTGACAAACTTCCCGGAGTTAGAGGCCATGGTGTCGGGCATAATGTTCAAGAGGAAGTGGAAGTGATTAATTTGGTGTTTGATGATCCTAGTACAAATACTAGGCAGATTGCAGCCCAGTTACCATGTGCCCAAAATATTTCGTGGAGAAGTTTAAATCGGTCTTTCATCCTTACCATCGGAAAAATGTGCAATGTCTGCAGCCCGGCGACGGAGAGCAAAGGTGAAATTTTTGCGAGTGGTTACTGCAAATGCGTAATCGAAATGCTGATTTTATTGATTTGATTTCGTGCTCAGATGAATCGCCTTTTACAAGGAGTAGGACCTTTAATTCTCATAATGAACATATTTGGTCGTTGGAAAATCCCCATTCTGTAAGAATCCACTCGTTTCAACACAGATTTTCTAGAAATGCAAACCCATGCTTGGCTTTTCTAGAGAATTACATAGAAAATGTGTTAGATCTTGTTCCGTTAGCAACGAGATTACGAATGCGGTATCAGCACGTCGGTGCCCCACCGCATGTTCGTCGTGACATAACCGCATGGTAAAATAATAATTTTAGACAACAATGGATTGGCAGAAACAGACCCGTACATTGGCCTGCGAGGTCTCCTGATTTGAACCCCCTGATTTTCTTTTTGTGGGGCTCTTTTAAACAACTAGTGTATGCTGAAGAAACGTAGATTAAATGCGCTTCGTTGAATTCTCGCCACAACACATTTTGCGGATATACGTTTTTCTTCACTAAAGAGATGCCGCACTTGTATCCTTCAGAATGGTGGTGAAATAAAATGCACTCTGGGAAAAAAAAGAGTGATTATTGAAGGTAAAATTTGAAAAATTGCGCGTTTCGAAAAAAAAAGTGGCGTTACCATTTTTATTTGGAAAAATAATGTCTCCGCCACTGGTGTACGTTAATTTTGAGTAAAGACTTTTGAATGTCGACAACACTTAGGTAAATCTATATACCAAATTTTAGTTCATGCCAGTTGACGGTTTTGAAGATACTAAAAAAAAATGTTTTCTTTTTAAACTTCAGCGTATTATGAAGCCCTCGAGGAAAAAATATTACATAGAAGCCCCCCCTCAAAATGCGGTCCTGTGTGTGAGGTTTCATTTTTGGTCACGACTTGTGAATCACCCGGTAGAAATGTGAATGTATTTCCAGTCTGTCACCATCACGTCTGAACCACTATACCGAGAGAAGTAAAAATTTGTACACTTACTAACTGAAGTGCGATGAAGGTTATAGGCATAGATTTATCCGCGGAAATATACAAGGTCTTCAAAATCAAAGTAATTCAAGGAATACATACAATTCCTATGCGGCGGCATAACTTCCTTTTTCAAAACTTAATAAAAGCCATTGTATGAATCAGAATATTTTTATTTGTTTTGTACAATGTAGGCGCCTGCCTAAAGCTTTGTTTTACATGCTTTAGGCAGGCATTATGTAGGCAATTTCTTCCTGGATGTTAGTCTTCAGATTTTGTAGGGTCCTTGGATCGTTCATATAAAGACATGATTCCAAAAAACCCATAGAGAAAATAAGGGGCAACTACAAATTTACTGTCAGTGCGACTTCATTTTCCTTGCTGGTGCACGCAAAGCTGTAAGGTTCGAAAAGATTTATCCATTAATGATCTTGAACGTGACCTCGACTATGATTTTCAAGGTCATCTAAAGGTCTAGTATACGAGATACCAGAAATATAGCGAACGGGAAATTTTAAGTTAAAGTGTGTCTTTGCTCATGACCTTGACCATCATCCATTGAACTACTATGAATTCTCTATTTCCTTCTCCGAAACCAATTTCCTCCACACTAATACGAAACGAATGACCTATACGAGTAGTTTACACCACTTCCACGCGAGTGGAGCGAGTCTAGTCTAGTATACAATAAAACTTTAGTAAAGTTGCTAACACTCAGCTTGTTAAGATGCCAAAGAGTAGGAATAGTTCTTTTAAGTTCTATGTATTTTACATTATTCTTCAGTCCGCCTTTTCTTTAGGTTGGTGTTGATTATGAGGGAGGAGGTTGCAGATTCATCCGATACAACTGCAGTGTTGTTGACACTGTACCAGGCTGGGTCATAATGCATCCTGGACAGCTGACACATTGGCATGAAGGACTGTATGTCACAAAGGGAGCTAGATACATCATGATTTCCTTTGTTGACCCATAAACTAGAAATCTTACTTGTGATTTGGGAATGATCTAAAGCACGTAACCATATCGAGCTAAACTAAGCGTATATGTTTGAGCCATTACGCATATTATCGATACCTTCTGTCAAAACCATGTCTTGTATACAATACAATTATTGTTTATCAAATAAGATAGGCAATCATTTCTAAAAAAAGGTGGAATCTTATTTGTAAAAAACAAAAGGTCAAAAAAGGAATGTTTGCTAAAAAATGGGTAATGGACTTGAAAATATTGATGTTGTTTAACTTGCAATTTTAGCACTGGCGGACTTTTGAATCAGACTGCTACCAAACCAAATATTCAATAAACAAGAATCGGTATTTTCAATGTACCAAAAAAATGTTTCCTCCCTGCATTACTGGATGCAATAGCAGCGATAAAACTGTTGATATGGACTACGAATTTTTAAAAATCGTGCGAGATTCTATTTGATACCGTTAAGTAGAAACTGAGAAAGTGTACCGCGTTCTTATACATACTATTGTGTCACGAATGTAGGATGTTAATTTTCAGATTTTTAACTCAAAACGGTACAAAGTATTAATAGACTTTTAAATGTAATGTTGTAAAATAATAAAGCTTTATTCTACGAAAATGGTTATTTTATTTATCGTGGGCGAACATTTCGAGAAGATACATAAAATTATACTAGGAACTGCTCAACAACATTGCGACGGTTTCAGACAAATATTGTCCTAGTTTACCGAATTACGTAATTCGTAGTCTCTTTTTACATATGAGTGGAGATTGTGTAGAAAAATAATCAACTCCGGAGCTTCCAACAGTAACCCTAGTAAGTCAGACCTAGCTTCGAGTACTGCTTACATGTTTGGGATGCTGTCGCCTCAACTACGTTAACCTGGTCGATGCTGTTCAGAAGAGGACTCTCCGTCTGATCGGTGACTCTTGTCTAACGGACGATCAAGGGACCCTTAGCTCTCTTCTACCGCTATGTCAACGGGCTTTGCTCCTCAGAACGTTCATCCATGATGTCTTCGAGCGATGCGCCTGACAGACAGACCCGCCTGACTTCGGCATCCCATCCTAACCGCGTCAAATTTCGTACATCCAAAACTGGTCAGTACGACCACTCCTTTGTTATTAAGGAATAGAGATTGTAGAACAATCCAAAACTGGTCGGTACGACCACTCCTTTGTCATTAAGGAATAGAGATTGTAGAACAATCCGCCTGAGGAGGCTTTTCCCAGTTGCACTAGCCTTAGGCAGTACAAACATCGGAGCTCTTCATATCAGCTGCATTGCTCTGGTATTTAGACTTCTGCCTACTTGGCTGTTTCTGTATAAGAAAGGTAAAAATTACGAATGTGTATTACTATAGAAATACATAAAAGAGGTAAGCTGTACTCTATGATGCCGCCGCGCTTTCTTTCTCCTGCACAGACTTTCCAGTGTAATACATCTCAACTTGATCGATACATTGAGGGCCGGCCAGTACGATAGCTCTTTTGATGTTAGTGTTGAGGCTTATGAGCGAGAAGGTTTTTTCCCAATCCTACTAATTTTAGGCTATTAAAAAATCGGATCGCGAATATATCTACTCTATTCTTAGCAGTGCAGTACCTCACTATTTAAGGTCTGGCGTCAAGGCTGCCACAATTTAAGGAATTGAACATAATCCAAAACATCTTCATTTTTATCATGTTTTTATACCAATGCAGCGTAGGCGTAGGCGGAATTAAAGAAATACCGGCAAGGTCATTTCGTAAAAAACATATACAGGGTGTAAACGTTATGGTAGTCATTATTGAAATGGGTAATAGGGGGGTCAAAACAAGTCAAACAGTTCATACGACCCATGGTCCAAAATTCAATAGATTTTTGACTAGATGGCTTTATAGTTTACAACTTTAAGTGCTTTATATCGACCACAATCACCACAATGTTACTAATTTTTATAATCTAATCTAAAACGTCTTTAAATTGAGTAATTAGCAAATAAATGGCGTTAAATTTTTCTAAGTTAAGCCAAAATTTGTAGTTAGTAAGTAAGTAAGTTTCATTAAATTAAGTATTTAAAACACACATGACAACAACGCGTCGGTCATTCGTCACTCTTATCGAACTGGCAATCGATCGCAAACGGTAACAGTGGTTAGTTATTGTTCGCCTACGTCGTCGTGTTTATTTACAATGTTCTCGAATCAAGAGTTCGCCGATATGTTGTTAGTTTACGGTGAAGCTCATCAGAACTCAAATCTTGCAGCTCAAATTTATCGCGACTGATTTCGCCAACGGGTACACCCAGACAGAAGGACATTTGTGCAAGTGCATCAAAGACTTCGAGATACAGGAAATGTTCAACCCACTAATATTCGCACTCGTGAAAGGTTACTGTAGAGCAGGAGGAACAAATTTTAAATATCGTGGAAATTAATGCAGATATCAGCACTCGGGTATTAGCCCCCCGCGTAGGACTATCGCATACCATAGTCTATAGAATCCTACGGGAAAATTTCCTTTATCCCTACCATGTACGAGTGCAGGCCTTGTTACCAGAAGACTATCCTCGCAGACTAACATTCTGTCAGTACTTTTTGCACAGAAACATTGTAAATCCGGAGTTTTTTAAAAACATTCTAGCGACGGATGAATGTAAATTTCTATAATACTCACACGTGGGCCCGAGAAAGTCCTCATACCATTCGTGAAGGTCATTTCCAACAACGTTTTAAAATACATATTTGGGCGGGTATTCTTGACGATCAGTTAATTGGCCCTTTCGAGTTACCCCCAAAGTTGTCCGGAGAAGGATACCTTAGCTTTCTAGTCAATAACCTACCAGAACTTTTGGAACAGACCTTAGACAACATGCCATTACAACGGAGATAGAATTTTTGGTTTCTTCATAACGGGGCACCACCACACATCTTTAGAGGCGTCATTCAGTATTTGAATTATCCAAATCGCTGGATCGGTCGAAAAGCTCCTGATCCTCGAAAATGGCCAGCAAGACCTCCTGACGTCAATCCGATGGATTTCTGGTATTGGGGAGAACTTAAAGGGGTGGTTTATGGGGCTGGTCCAACAACAACTGAAGCACAACTTCGCGAAAAATATTTTAATGCAGCTGAAATAAATGGACAACTTCGAGGACCTAGAGTAAGAAGAAACTGAGTTCGTCGTATCGAAGCTTGTGTGAAAAGTGGAGGACGACATTTTGAACACCCTCTTTAAATACAAAAAAGTGCAGTGTGGGTTTTAAAAAGAAAAACAATGTATGTGTCAAAATTGTGTTCTTTATTTATAAGTGGATTTTTAACTTTCACACACCAGGTGAAGCGCTGAGACAGTTAGTGGTAAGTCCATTTTTTTAATTGTTTGCATTTTACGAGTACATTATCAAATAATGAAATAATATCTAAGAGCCAAAAATAACAAACTCCATCTTTATTTACACTGCGTTCCGTCGTAATTTGCGTCTGGCATTGCGGCGTTGTCAGATTTTATTTTACGTTAAAGTCGCTTTTCTCTAAAAAAAAGCCGTTTTCACCCCCATGTTATATGAAACTTTTTGCTACTTTTAACCCCCTCTATCACCCGTTCAAATAATGACCATCATAACGTTTACACCCTGTATAATGTCAAAAAGCGGTGGAATGTCTTCTAGTGCACTAAGTAGCTGCTAGTTTATTCCGCGCCTTCTACAAGCGAGCTTGAAGTGCTTAGTTCAAAGGGGACATTTTATAGGAATTTTATGTCAAAAAACCTACAGGTACATAATGTCATAAAAAATCGATATAATGTCACTTTTTAAGTTACGTAGTATGGCTGCGCAACTTTTATAAGGAGCTTGAAAGGTACAACACTAATCCGATTTCTAAACCGGCTAAGGTTGGTAGAACTGGGACCCTTTTCAGGCAGATTGTCCTACAATCTCGACACCGTAGGAACAGAGTTAGAAAGAGAGGTAGGAGCCTGGCAGGTTCGTCCGACATTGCGGTAGAAGAGAGAGAGAGATTGCCGACCACCCGTCGGTATGAAAGGGTCTCGAGACTGTCCGTTAGAAAAGTGTCACTTTACAGCCTGTAAAGTTTCTCTGGGTGATGGAAGTTACCATGTTATAGTCGCAGTAACCGTTCTTGGCGGGCAAAGTAAGGCTACCAGTATCCCTCTATACAGGGTGTTTCAGTTTATTGTTGCATAACTTTAAGGTTCGATAGAATTAATGCATAAAGTCTATATAAACATGGGTTGAAAAATGCGTGGCTTCCGAAATACAGGGTGTTTAAATTTACTTTCTAAAATAGTTTTTTTTAAATATTTCGAACAATATTTGATGTATAACAGTGAAAATTGGTATGCAAGGATTTTTTGGTCCGGCAAAACGAACCATGGGCATAGTTTTACTCTAGTCGCTAGAGGGCGCTCTCTACTGTACCTGTAGTGTATTAAAATGACCGAAAAATTTTTCTTAGTGCAATTTTTTGCTTTTTGAATAAAAAAACTGATTCTTCGCACTTTTCAACATAAAAAAGCTCTCCTGTGAGTTTTCGTTATAGTTAGCCGTTTTTGAGATATTTCGATTTTTAAGGTTCGATGCATTTTTAATTATACAGGGTTATCCAAATTAAGTGTCCACCATTAGTAACTTTGTTATTAGTGAAAATACAAAGTTGTTTGAATTAGCAAACTAGTAGCATTTTTAACGCTGGTAAAAATGAGAAATAAAAAAAAAACAATTGAGAGCCGTTATTTTGATTTTTTTCAGTAAAATAACATTTTTTGAAATGGAAACCCTTGTATATTATATTTTTTTCTGTTAAAGCATCAAATTTTAAACAAAAAAGCTTACAATAACTTTTCTCCTAGGTTACAAATTGTTGAAGTTATGGCCTCCAATCTGAAACAATTAAATTGTATCGACAAACTTTATTTTCAACATCAACTTATAATCTTACAAAATACAATAACAATTTTTTTTAAAGAAGATGCTCGAAAACACCACCTTGTTCTTCAATACATTTTTGGGCACGTTTTTCAACTGCTCGAACTGTCTTAAGTATGGTCCTAGCATCTATCTGGGTTATCTTTTCCCTAACTGCAGTCTTTAACGCGTCAAGGTTATCGTACCTTCGCTTGTAAATTTGGTTCTTTAAGTAACCCCACAAGAAGTAATCAAGTGGGTTTAGATCTGGTGATCTGGGAGGCCACTGTATTGGGCCATTTGTTCCTATCCACTGATCATTAAAAGTAGTACTTAGAAAATGATAAGTACCTCTGGAGTTGTGGGCAGGTGCGCCATCTTGCTGAAAATGCAGATGATGTCTACTTATAAGATCCAATTCGTCTAAGAAATTAGTCAGAATTTCTGACATAAATTCCACATATCTTTCACCAGTTAGGGTTCCCTCATAAAAGAACGGGCCAACAATTTTTGAACCAATTATACCGCACCAAACGTTGAAACTGAAACGGACTTGTGGGCCTCTTGGATGTACTAACAAAAGATTTTCTCTTGACCAATAATGGTGGTTTTTTCTATTAAACATTCCAGAATTTGAAAAATTTGATTCATCTGTCCATAAAAGGTAACGAAAGTTATTTACATTTTGGCGACAGAAGCTAAGATACCAATGGCAAAAAACAAGTCTTCTCTCTGGATCCCCTGCCAAAAGCGTTTGAACTGGTCGGTACTTATACGGAATAAATTTGTATTTTTTTAAAATCCTTTGAACAGTACCATAACTGAAATTAGAGTCCTTGAGAATATCTGCTATTGA